TTTTCCATAAATGAATGGGTTTTTAATTCATATGATATCACGGGTGAAAGTAGGTTCAAATTTGACAAAATTTGATAAAATATTTGTTGCCGATAAAGATAAACAAAGCGTGACCTGAGAAACACACCCACTCTTAATTTTTGTAAAAACACAATGTATCTTAAGCTTTAAGAGTTTTCTAGCATTGTTCAGCTTCCGTATTATGCGATAAGGCATTAAATACTTACACTCGAGTTCAGATACTGAGACTTCTTGGGACTGCAACTGTATTGAGAACATAGTAGAACTTCTTAAAACACTATTTTATTTTTTAGAAAAAGTCATTATTTGAATAGAAGATCTAAACTTCCGACATATTCCGACAAAGTCCAAAAAACGGAGCTATAAATGCGCGTATTTTGTGGAGACACTGCCGGTCGGAGGTGTTTCCACAACTATTTTTAGGAGCCTATAGCTATACGGCTTTGCGTTCTTTTGTTGCTTGCAGTTTCTCTGCCGCCTCTAGGGTTTTTGATAAGCTCGCGATTCGCACAATTAACAGCGTCGATGAGGGGGGAAAAGCGATGGGTGGCAATGAGACGAGCATCCGCGACACTTATTGTGATTTTCCTGTGCTCCGGGCGCTCTTTTGTGCACTTTAATAGGCCCAGCCAAAGAAGAAGATCGTGAGAAATTGACGCAGTGACATTCACAAGGGTGTAATAGATAGACTTTTTAATAAAATCAATTTTAATTGTAAAATAATACCTTATAGATTTATGAATTCACATCTAAGTTTTAAAAATACAATTTAAATTTTTAGTTGGCGCCTAAAATGTGTCTTAATCCCTGGTTACTAGTAACAGTGTTAAAAAGTGCTTGCCTAGTTTGGGGAAATTTCGGTCAGTCCCTGGTCAAAAAGTGCTGTCAAACAAAAATTCGATATAAATATATTTCTCCAAAAAAGATATCGATATATTGATATTTTGATACATTATCAACAACCCTAACCAAAACACAAATCATAGCAATTAACCAGCAATATTCGAACAAATTCTTTCGTGACGTGTCTCGATTAAGCTGGCAACATGGCTGATAACTTAGAGCCGCTGGAACCGAGTCTGCAGAATCTCGTCGAACAGGACTCGCTCAAATGGATCTTTGTAGGCGGCAAAGGGGGTGTGGGCAAGACAACCTGCAGGTGAGACAATAGCAACAACAAAACTGGAAACATGGAAATCTTACGGCTCACTCTATAATCCATATTTATGTGAATATTTCAGCTCCAGTCTGGCAGTTCAATTGTCTAAGGTTCGCGAATCGGTCCTTATTATATCCACAGATCCGGCACACAACATATCCGATGCCTTCGATCAAAAGTTCACTAAAGTGCCGACAAAGGTAATGACACTCCCAATAGAAGCTAAGAATTCCAGTGTCCAGTGTTAAAACGTCTTTTTTCCTCCAGGTTAATGGCTTTGACAACTTATTCGCCATGGAAATCGATCCAAATGCTGGACTAAATGAACTCCCAGAAGAATACTTCGAAGGCGAAAACGAGGCACTCCGCGTGAGCAAAGGAGTCATGCAGGAGATGATTAACGCCCTGCCCGGTATCGACGAAGCTATGAGCTACGCCGAGGTGATGAAACTGGTCAAGAGCATGAATTTCTCAGTGGTTGTCTTTGACACTGCACCCACTGGACACACACTGCGCCTGATCGCATTTCCGCAGGTCGTGGAGAAGGGCCTGGGCAAACTCTTACGCCTCAAGATGAAGGTGGCGCCCCTGCTAACACAGTTCGTTTCCATGCTGGGCATGGCAGACGTCAACGCCGACACGCTCTCCCAAAAGCTGGACGATATGCTGCGCATAATCACCCAGGTCAACGAGCAGTTTAAGAATCCAGTAAGTGCCCAGGTCCCAGTTTATGATTGTCCATCTTAAAATCCTTGGTTTCTTTTTTCCATTCAGGACCAAACTACTTTTGTGTGCGTCTCCATTGCAGAGTTCTTTTCTTTGTACGAAACGGAGCGACTGGTTCAAGAGCTGACCAAGTGCGGCATCGATGTGCACAACATCATTGTGAATCAATTACTGTTCCTTCAGAACTCACACGACTCCTGCAGCATGTGCGCCTCCCGCTACAAGATCCAGGAGAAATATCTGGACCAGATCGCCGACCTGTACGAGGACTTCCATGTAACCAAATTGCCGCTGCTCGAAAAAGAAGTGCGAGGCCCGGAGAGCATTAGATCGTTCTCTGAGAACCTGATGACGCCCTACAAACCTAAAGCGAAGCCCAAGGAATAGGAACACCCTTTAATCCTTTCTACCCCAACCGTTTGTAAGTTTTGTCCCGTAGAGTTCCCCCAGCCGGAGCGCTCAAAATAAAATTGAGTTAAGGTTGCGATCCCTGCAAGGATTGGCTCCTACGTGTAATCTAAAAACGTGTAACGATGCTGCTTTCTGAATATTACACGTACATTTTCACAGAGCGCCTCCTGCCCGTTCCATGGGTACCAGGCTGGGTAGGGCGTAGCCTGGCTGTTTCTTCTTGTAGTCCAGATACAGCCGGGCGTAGCGAAGGTATGCCATGTCACCGTGCACGACAGCCGACATGAGTAACAGGAACTCGTAGAGATTCACCTTCCCCTGGGCGTGACAGTCGATGTCGCGGAGCACGTTGTGCATTAAATCCAGTGGCACCTCCTTTACACCTAGGCTCTTCATGGCCCGACAACAGTCGGAGATGGACACGTAGCCGGTTCCTTTCTCATCCAAGTTTTTGAACTGCGTGGCATACATGCGCACCTGGTTCGCAGACATTTTTATAGGAATGGTCATGTGGGGGGAGTCTTCCTTAGTTAGTTGACCCATCTGAGTGCGGAGGAAGGTGCGCGTTTGATGAATCTGTCGTTTCTTCTCATCCGGCGACCAATGTAGCTCCTTGGCCATAAGGTTCGCGACCTGCGGGAGTATCGCCTCGGCCACCTGGACGTTAAGGAATGCCACTCGTAGCCGGCGGGCCACCATGTCCTCCAGCGTACAGGCAAAGTCCCGGACGCCCTGCTTGACCTCGGCCTCAATGTACGGGAACTCGGAATGCAGTCGCTTACCCACAATGGGCCAGGCTATGCCGCTTCTATCCGCGGCAACGGCCACCTTGAAAGCATTCGACCCGTATGTGTTGGACAAGTGCTCGGCCACATCGCGCTCCATGCCGAAGTCCTGCACTAGCCGGATGTACATTTTCGGACTCCAGCCATTCGCCCCGTCCAGTTTGCACGACTCCGCCGTAACGGAGTTGGCACGCAAGGGCGATAGTCCTCCGTAACGAATGGCTGCATTCACGGTCTTCTCGGCCACAGTCCTGAAGGAGGACCAAGTGCCACCCACAATCGAGAGCATGTTGCTGGGGCCCAGGTTGATGACATGGTTTTTCATCTTTGTGTACTGGAGAGAATCCGAGGGCACTGGCAGGGGCTTGAAGCCTCCCCAAACGGCCAGCACATCACACCGGCGGACATCGAAACTCGGACTGACAAAATTTTTCACGCCCTCCAGTAGATACTGCACATCGGATTCCGTTGGCTGGGTGGCATTGTCCATGGGATCCCTCGGCTCATGGCTGGTTCCCACCAGGGTGTGGCCTTGCCACGGCAGGAAGAAGATAGACCGCCCGTCGGTGGTGTGTGGGTCGAAGACGCCCACGTCCTCGGGGCAATAAAAGCGGGGCATTACGATAATCGATGACCAGCTCCGAGTGCACATGGGCTGGGCGTCTACATCCTCCATGCGGCGGACATTGTCGCTCATGTGGCCAGTGGCGTTGACCACTACCTTCGCCCGTATGGCGTACTTCTTTCCCGTTAGCTGGTCCACCGCCTCGGCACCATTCACATGGCCCTCCTTGTTCTTCAGGAGCCGCACCACCTTCATGTGATTGCAGATGTCAGCGCCGTAGCGGGCGGCTGTTAGAGCCACCGAGAGGCACATTCGAGCATCGTCGTGCTGCCCCTCGTAGAAGACAAAGGCCCCGAACAGCTCCGGACGACGGAGCATGGGAAAGACTTCCACCGCCTTGTCGGCACTGAGGTATTGAAAGGTCTTGGTTCCCTTGGGAGCTATCATATGATAGAGCTTCAGTTTCATGTAATAGAGCGGGGCCTCCCACCAGTTGTGGACGGGCAGCAGGATGGGAACCGGCTGGCTAAGATGCGGAGCCATGTTGCCAATGTGATTGCGCTCCAGCAAGGAACAGCGCACCCTTCTGAAGGCAGCCAGATCTAAGTGGGATACGGCCTGCTCCAGATCCCGCAGACCGCCGTGCAGTAACTTGCTTGACTTGGACGAGGTGCCGCTACCAAAATCCTCCGCCTCGACCAACGCCGTCTTCAGCCCCCTGGTGGCTGCGTCCAGGGCGCAACCGGCGCCAACAGCGCCGCCGCCAATGATAAGGATGTCGTACTGGGTGCGACCAAAGGCCTCCAGGCACATTTTGCGGGTCGGCAGCTCCCTCTTCATTTGCGGCACCGGCTCCGCTCCCGGTGGCCTCTCCTCGAACCCGAAGGAGCCGTGTGACAGCTTGGAGCTTCCCAGCATCACCGCCATTTGGATAAACCTGGCCATGTTCTCTGGCGATAGGTTATCCCCTGCAAATAGCGAAGAATTTTGACAAAATCTGAAGTGGGGAGAACAGTATTAATGCCAGAAACGTGTAGATGAAATAAGAAAACTAAGCACTCGGAATTCGAATGACTTTTTCAGAGTTTTTTCTTGTGGAATACGTTTAATGTACATACATGTGGTTTAAAACGTTCTGCTGTCGTTTCGTTTCATGCCTCAAAAGTTTAAATATCAATTGGAAAACAGAACTCTAGCCCCGCTGTCTGAAGGAATTGCATGTGTAAAGGTGGTGTACAAAAAAATGCCAAAGGTAACTTTAAAACTTAGCACAAATTTTACTATTAAATATGGCCCCGATCCGCTGCCTCCGACTCCTCTTCCGCTCTCTCCCCATCCATTTGTGAGCCTTTTGACTTTGAGCGTTCGTGGATTAACTAATTGGTGGCTCCGCATCGCGATCGGATGGCCTCCGATGGGCACCGTTGGGATTGGGGACTACTACTGCTTGGCGCCGCCAAAGAAGAACTTGTAGAATAGCGTGGCCACCAGACAGAGGACCAGCGGCAGCAGCCAGGACTTCACCGAACTCTCCTCGTTCTGCGTATCCGTGCTCCAGGTGGGCTCCGACTTCTGGGCCACGCTGGTGCGTTCGCTCTCAACCAGCTCACCGATCTTGTACTTCTTCATCATGTCCCGGGCGTCGTTGCTGTGGCCGACATCCTCGAAGTTCTCTGTGGCATCCTTGCCGGCCTGCTCGATAAGCACTTCCTCGCCACCGGGATGCTGTGGATAAAAATGGGAAACAGTTGAGTTCTATATTCGCATATATTACTGCCCAGTTGGTTTTTTTTTGTATGCTAATCCCCGTCTGACCCTGAATTCGATGGCTAAAAATTCAAGAAAGGGAATCGGAATTGGAATTCTGGAAAGGGAACTTAGAAGTCTTTGCATATGGTAATCGGTCGTTCAAAACGAATAATCTCCAATGATAAGGCCAACTTTGAATTTCTTTATAAATCCATTACTGAATCATCCGAAATAATAATAGCTGCCCTCAAACTGTCGCAATTAAAGTTAAAAGTAATTATGACAGTAGAAAGATAATAACATCATGAAAAATAATACATATGTGGTTGTACTTCAGGGTCGAACTCTGACCAACAGGAGCTTGTTGATCTTCACGAAAATCTGGTAGTATAATTCTCTTGACGTAGATCTAGCGATGCTCTTATTTATGCGTAGGAAAGTGTATATCCTGAACATTTGGAATACACCTTTCCCAAAAGGGGGCGCATGTTTTAAACATCATCGGATCGGATCTGGCGATAGTCGGACTCAAACTTTGGAATGGAAGCGCTTGGTCACCCTCACTATTGTTATTTTAAGGCACACGCAAAGTGCAGTGTCATCGTTAGAACCAAGTTTTTTGAGCTTATCTTAACAAGAGCATTAGATTCCACAGATAGCAAGGCCATTATTGCTGCGGAGGCGTTATTGCGCCAGAATGAAGTGCTGCATGGGAATTTCGCCGGTTGGCGGAGCACTTGCACAAGATTCTCCCCTTCGGGCGGCAGCGAAACTAATGAGATGCAAATGCAGACTAGTCGCACCGATTTTGCTTAAAACTTGACCCGGAGCACACGAATGCAAATTGATAGTTTCGCCACGACAGGCGATTACAAAATGTGATCGAGGGGGTTTCGTCAATAAGTGGGGCGGCGCGTACTGTTGCTGTTGCTGCTGCTGCTGGAAGCTTCCACGCGGCGAAACGAGAAATCCGGACACGGGGTCAGCCAGTTAGTGTCGGCGGGTCAAAGTACAGCTCTAATTACAGTCTCGATTCAGCTGCAGTTTGGTAGAGAAATTCATACTTCCACATGTGTGTACGTGCGCCTTGGCTCTACTCTAACACTTGGACAGTTGTCATTAGCTCATTGGCTATAGTGTGGTATGGAGATAACACCCGACGGCGACCTGGAAATGTCCGCCGTGCCCCTAATTCCAACGTGTACGCATTTCTTCGCCTCCAACACACTCTCACCTCGTTCAGAAAAGCCGTCACATCATAGACGTTGTTGTGGATGAGCAGCCAGGTGTCCTTGTTTGTGTTGTGCTTGGCGACCTCTGCGCGGGTGAAAGTCTTTGTTCCTTCGCTGGACATGGTTATTGGGCGGTGATCACTTGTTGATTTCTACTGCGCGTTTAATAAACCAACTTTTGATTGGGCGAATGAAACATTAGTTGCTGATAGTGTGACCAGATGCGGCAAGGTGGCTTAGACGCCCAAAATAGACAAACCAAACCTATTACTATTTTGTAAACTAGAGAACTTGTTTTTTTTCTTGGGAAAATGTTATTTAGTTTAAATAACACTCTATAAAGAAAACTCAGTCTTTAGTTTGTCAAACAACGGTGCAAATATTGAACGTGAATCTATTTTTTGAATAGCTTTCCAACACTGCTAGAATACTAAACACATACTAAATTTAGAGCGCCATTTTCAAATTATTTGAGTTTCCATATTTTATATTAAAGATGATGTTTACATATTTTTTTAATGAAAAAAAAGATTAAAAATATTACAATTTTTGCTGCTCATTAGTTCATTTAGTTCATTAATCTTAAATATAATTTTTATGGTTTTGCAATATCTGCTTTATGTAGCCTACTTTTTGGGTTAAGTTTTCTATGAAACGGAAATTCAAAGATTAAAAACTTTTCTAACTGAAAAGATTAAATAAAAAATGCTCTTACGTTAAATAATGAACCAGTTCCGTCTTAACTAAACCATAAACCCCTAATACTTCATTGGGAGCAACCGACACTGCGCAAACGCAAGTCTTATATTTACACTTAGACCCTGCCTATTTCATACTTGGCAAAGGAGACTTCAAAGTCAAACGTATCCTGCTGTACGCCGTGCGGCTGCGGTGCTCCTTTAAATTAAACCAGTCGACTGGCATCGCTAAAACTAAGAAAACATTAAACAAACGCTGTCTAGGCGTTTAAATAATAATACAAAACAGTTAACAATAAACTAAAAATATTTTTTAAAAGAACAGCAGGAGTGTTTTGAGACGCTGCGCTTTTAACTTTTTTTACGAGGTAAGTGGCGAAATGGATCCATATTACGCAATTCTCTTCCTGGAGCGGCACACAGTGTGTACGTGCGGGTTAGCATTTTCTCTAGACGGTCTCCAGAACTTCCTTTTCAACCGAGGGGGAGGTATGCCAGTTTTTCTGGCCCCCATAGTGTCCACCGTTCTGCTGCGTAATTCAAATCCTTGTATCCAAACTGGGCGTCTGCCAGGATACATACATGTTTAATGATTTCGGTAGCTGGCTCCTGATTTAAATGATGATTTGAAGCCATGCGGGCACCTGAAAATCCCCGAAAGTAAACAACTCTATGGGGGCCATTCAAAAACCGAGTGAAGTGGCTTGTAAATCAATGAGTTTGTTTGTGTCTTCTCGAGTACGAAAACGTGGGAGCCTCTGTGTTGTACTATAGAACCCATTTCCTTATCAGCACCTGGAGATTTTAGTTGACCATAACATAGTTAGTGCTCTCCAAGATAATAAGCCTTTTAGTACACTCCTGGAGTATCTCAGACACGCATTTGGAAAATGATGCCAAAACTTGGGGTAGGCAAAAAGTTTGATTGATGACTGTACGAATGTCCTGGCCTCAAGGAAATTGTATATATATTCAGGGCGTGACGCAAATGAATTTATTGCTATATTTACCCTTCTAACACGCTATATGTACATATTTATTTTCAAGCACAATCGAGGATTGTAAATTAGTATCACACAAGTGTGGATGGAAACAACGTGAAAAATATAAGAATCATATAACAGAAACAAAAAGAGATCTCGATGGCGATCGGCTGCATTAATCGCTTTCATACACAAAGGGACTAAAAATAGCCAGTTTACCTTTCCCAGTACCGAGAGTTCAGTACCTGGCTGCCAGAGAGGTAGCGCGATTATAATAAACTTTAATGCCTGATTCCTGCATAATCGGTGACATTTTCCCTGTCCGGCGTCAGTGATCCACATTTTTTTGGCGCGACAGCCAGTGGGGGCATTTGCATTGCCAATTAATCATTAGAACTTGATTGATTTCATCATTAAATACAATTGAGTGGAATTGGCCAAGGCAAATGTTTTCAATTCCCGTCCAGAGTCCCAACAAATAAATAAATAAATAATTCAGTAAATATTTTGTTGTTCATGTGCTGATCTGATCTTTTGATCGCATGAGGAGATCTCACCAACTGTTTTCAATTGGTCAGCATTTAAAGAAAGATATACATATTGTTTTAAATATTTTTTATGACACTTTCCCTTTTGCCAGATGTGGCTTTTTTGTATCTTATCTCTGAAGAAACATTACCTGATAAAATATATAATCCCCTTATTATATATAATATTTTAGCACCTACAGATCTTGATCTAGAGCTGAAAATCTTATCTTTTTTAAGAAATGATGTCAGAACCAAGAAAAATATTATTATTCTAAGGTTTTTGAGGGCTAATCCTATATTTTCGTAGTAACTGGTGGCCTTTTTTGAGGTCAAGCCTTGAACCCAAATATAAAGATACATTTTTTTGGCATTTCAGGATGCGAAGGCAAATGTAACTGCGTAAAATATAAAACATATTTATAGCTCGTTTATTTACATATTTTTTATGAGAGGAAAACAAAGATGAACACAAAGCACCACGCACAAAGAAGCTGAATGTCCATTTCTATCTATCCAGCCGCGTTCCATTTTATGCATTTTTATTCTCCATCTCCAGCGGAGAAGTATCTGAGAGCTGGCAGAAAAGTATCTGAATCTGGGTGGGGGGAAGCTTACAGCAGCAGTCAGCTGTCTGCCAGTTTTGTCGTATTCGTGCTCTCTCTCTCTCTCTCTGTGTGTACCTCTCTTTTTCTCCCCGGTTCTCAGGCGGCCAGTGCGTGATAATCACGCACCGAGCACGTGTACATGGCTTTGGTTTTGTTTTGCTTGCTCAACCCCACATCCCCTGCACCCCACCCCAGCCCCCCTGGCGGCATTGGCACTCAAACATCCACCGTTCTGGCTTCGCAAACAAAAACAAAAGCAAGCGCAGTAGTCGGATAGATACAGATACTGAGAGATACAGTGTAAAATGCATTAATTTACAAAGTCATATAAGTATGCTAACTATGGTGGAAAAAAACTATATTCTGCATCTATAAGATAGAGTTTAAGCCCCTTGATATAGATACAAATGTATCTACAAACTCTATAAGTTGTTTATTTGTTTTGCTTTTCTATACGACACTCGTTACGAATTTCAATTAGAAAACCTCAATGGGAGATAAGACTAAATACTTCCCTATGGAATCGCAAATCATAATGATAGTGATGCCCCCCTTGGAAGCCACCCGCTGAGAAGGTGACGTGACTAATGGGGCATCCTCCCAGCCCCTTCCACTTTTCGCAGAATCGTTAGAAAAGAAAATTCTGTCACCGAAAGTTCTATAAAAAAATCATTTGACGGCCGCCTGGCAACCTAAACGAGGTGACTTCCACATTTCGTATAGAGGACCAGGCTCTCGAACTTTGTTTTGGCCATAAATCTTTTCCACGCGTTGGCCTAATGCATTTGTTGTTTTTTATTAATTTGTTATGATCGCCAAGTGACCGGGCTTTGTGTTTGTTTTCCTCTCCGGCTACTGCGTCCCCAATGTTAATTCGAATGTGTAAACAAAAGATAAACAATCTTATTCTACTACACTGCCCAAAAAACTGACTTATAGTGTATGATAGGTATGCAATCATTTAAATTGGAAAACCTATAAATAAATATGAAATATTAAAATTGCATCCTATAGATGCAAATATATTCGGCCATGCAACCCACTCTCAGATACAAAACACACACACACGGATAAAAGTATCCGGCACACTCACTCTTCAAATGTTTCACGCATTCCGTGCGTGCCGTGTATAGGCTCATTTCTGCGCGTATGTGTGTGTAGCGAGAGTATCTGTGTGAGTTCCATACGCTCGCCGGCTTTTTTGCTTTTTAGCTGGCGCATCGGCGTTAGCGGGCTCAGATGTTCTTTGGAAGTGCGCTGGTCAAGACGTGTGCAGCGAAAAGAAAAATCTACTTCAAGTCTCAACCTAAAGAAAAGTGCTAACTAAAGTGCCATTCAAAATAAAAGTGAAGAAAAATCAAGAAATTCATTAAGAAAATAAGCCAACAACACAGACAGACACAATGCCGGTCGATATTTGCAGTCAACAACACAATTTGCTCGGTTCAATAAGGTAAACTATTGATTGAAAGTAATTGGCCTTCATCCCCTACCTCTATTGGGGAAAATGAATTCAATTTCTCGCCAAAAGTGCAAGTGAAGTGAACTTTAATAAAGTGTCGGGACTGCGCCTTCGTCACCGTCCTTATCGGCGGCCTAAACACAATATGCACTAATTAAATCGCCAGACACTAGTCCAGACCATCAAATCAATATCACTGTTTTATCTACTTCCTCTATGACCCATAAACTGAATCTAATGTCCGATACCGATACCGATGCCGATGCTTATCTTTTAATTGGAGCTTTGCCAGCTCATTGAAGTGAAAGGATCCGTATCGCATATCGCAATTGCTGTGTCCACCTGCCAATAAATCAAGGCATATTTATTAATGAAAGTCAATATATGGGCATACCAGCCCACCTGACCTTTCAGAACAATACTATATCAAGTGGGTATCACAATAGTGATCATAATTCCACACATCACTCGAAAATAGTTGCTAGAATAATATTAACATGAGGGCGCCGAATGCTTGTTGGCATTGAAATCAAAGATAATCACTTACACAGTGCTTGTATATAGGAAAATCGGCCAGAGAATCGCTATTACAACGGGCCTATCGAGTTTTTGGCATTGAAATTATTGAAAAGTACGCAATAGGGTCTCGGAAATCAATTGCGTATGTGGGGCTATGGGGGTGGGGTTTCGAGAAACATTTTTATTGTATTGAGTAACATTTTTCGAGTTTTAGATTAAATCCAAAAAAAACCACAGAATAGAAAGATATTTTTAAACCTGAAATAAAAAGGATTTCCAAATCTTTGTTCTTTTGAGAACACAGCCACAAAGTTGATTGCCCCGTATACTATATAGAAATTCATATTTTTAGTCTCAAATATAGAATATTTCTAATATGTATCTGTAACATTTCTCTCTGTGATTGCAGCGGAACAACAGATACCTCGTTGTCGTTAAATTCATTGTCCCTGACGTCCGCTCTGCCGCCGACGGATCCTGATCACCACCACGACCACAACACACACAACATGAACAAACTGTGCCGTCAAGTGTCAATTGAGTCGCCCGGACCGGGTGCCAAGAACTGCGTCTTCAACTTCTTTGTCCCTATCGAGGATACGCCGGCGCTGGGCGCCCGCATCCGGATCGTGTGCGCCGGAGCCTGCTACCGTCGCCGCGATCGCTCCAACTCGATAACCAGCATGTCCTCGGTGTCTTCGGAGCTGAGCGACTACTGCCCCTCAGTGAACTCGATTTCCTCGCCCGCCCACCAGGGCATCCGCGAGGGCTCCTTCTTCCCCGGCTTCGAAGTGGCCGGCGTGATCGAGTCCCTCGGCTCAGAGATCACCGAGGCCAACAACCGGGGCCTGCGCATTGGACAGCGCGTGATCGTCTACCCGTTCGATGAGACCCCCGCCGGCTATGCCGAGCTCTTGGTGGTTCCAGATCTGAAGCATGTGGTGCCCATTCCCGACAGTCTGCCCATGGAGGTGGCCGCCATGCTGCCCACGGGCGCCCTCCTGGCCATGAACGCTGTCTTCAAGGCCCAGGCGGTGGTCACACAGATCCTCAGTCAGCGGGCTGCCACAGAGCCGCAGCGGAAGTGCAAGATCCTGATCGTTGGCACCGGCGGCCTGGCCCTCTGGGCTGTGCGCATCGCCTCCTATCACTTTGCCTCCACTGGAGCCGACAATGTGGACATCACAGTGGCCAGTCTCAGGGACGAGGGCTTCCGTCTGGCCACGGAGATTAAAAAGTAAGTATTTTTCTCAAAAAAGGAGCTTATCCAACGTCTTCTGAAGCCGTTATGTAACATCTATTGTAACCATATCTTTGTCTATTCTTTTTTTTGCAGTGTCAGTGTGGTACAGTGGAACGAATGCCTCTATGAGCCGCAACTGATCGAGCGCACCAAGGATGTGTGCGGCGGAGCCGTGGACGTGGTGATTGATTTTGGCACAACCTCAAGGAGCCTGCACCGCTCGATGCACTGCCTGTCGAAGGGCGGTGTGGTCCTGATCAGTGACGAGGTGGCCGAGAAGCTGCTGCCCAAGTTCTCGCGGCTGTCCAGCGAATACCAGCAGGACATCATCCCGATCTCCAACGGCACCGCCGAGCAGCTGGCGGAACTGGTCGAGCTGGTGGCCAACAAGAAGATCGAGCCGCCGCCACACTCTGTGTTCCCCTGCGAACAGGCCGCCGAGGTCATCCAGAAGCTGTGCAACTCCGAGATACCCGGACGCGCCATCCTCCGCTTCCACGACATAGAGTAGGCCATCACATCACAGTTAAATGGGAGGGGAGGCGAAGGATGTGGCTCCCAGTCAAGGCATTAACTCATTCAGTACGGATATATGTTAGTTGTATTCAGCGGACACCCACAAAACACTGCAACCTGCAACACTCTCGAAGCGGATTCAATTGTGCTTATTTAGTAGCCGGTCTTTGTTTTGTATCCTTAGTTTGGACCCAATAGGCGTCCACCTCGTTTCATTGATTTAGATTTTTAAGCATTTTAGTATTATGTACATATAGATTGTGATTTATTTTAATTTGTAAGCCAAGCCAGAAGCACCCATCACCTCACATCAACATATTAGCCGGAACAGGTCTCCAGGCATTCGATTATGCTTATTTAACATTTCGTACAAGCCCATGAGCAGATTCGGATTAAAAAATAAATGTTATACATACTATATACAAAATTGTTATGCATGCGATGCAAAATGTTTGATTCAATTGCTTGATGTTTGTACTCATTACGTACCCAACCTTATATTCTACTCTTAATCATAAATAAAAGCCATAACTATCAAAGAATCGGGGTTGCTAAGGATGTAGGAATGGATCCAAATGTAGAATCTCACTCGCAACTCATTGTGAGTTCAAAAAATGTCATAGAAAAGTTGGTTGTTTTTCAGAAACTTTTTTATTCAAATTTTTATAAATGGCGCCATTGCACTGTTTTCTCTTGGCAGCACTGGTTTCCAACTGAAACCCAGTTGGCAGTTCCAAAAAAATATCTAAGATTCTAAATACATTTCGCAACACTGGAATGCAGCCTTCGCACAATTCCGCCAAAAGCGAGAATATTTTAAATTTCCATAAGACTAAAGTTTTTTTTTTGGGTGTTTCCGAAAATGCTTGTGCTGCATATCCTTCACTGCATCTGCAATTTCAGAAAACGTCGTTTTTCGAAACGAATATAAAAGATATTTGGCTGGCTATAAAAAGTACCGTTGAACATTGGTGCTTTTCGAATTCATTCCATTGGTAAATAACGTTACCTCCAAATGGGATTCGGCTTTTGATTGCCAACCAGGTCGATGGGGAGGGACATCAGGAGATTCATCACTCCGGCTCCGGCAAAAATCTACATCCTGGTCACTAATCAATTGCGGCTTCTTAATACCATACCATACAACTCGCTCCCTACAATTTTCAGAAAAACGATTCCCAGTGCCCCAATTTGATTTATAAGAGAAGCAAACAAGTTCATGCAACTAGTTTCATACTAATAAATGGCCTCTGTTAGACACAAATTTGCTTATTGTGTTCTTCACAGAGTATGCCCCGCATTGCACGTTATACCGTTGGAGAGCTTTGATTTTAAAACTTTTTAATGTGACCAGCAGTTATAGAATAAAATAGCTAGCAACGCCATCCACTGGAATATTATTGTGACAAAACCCTAGGAACGCGCACAAAATGTTTTCCTTTAATCTCCCTTGCGGGGATTTCCAAACATTAACAACTTTGACCAAAAGCACCATTACTTTCGAGCCGCCTGTTTACGAGCAGCGCTACTGTGCTGCTATTCAAATCCTGGAGGATAGCCGCTGGTCGGCCCAGATCAAGAAGGTAGTGGAGTTCGGATGTGCCGAAATGCGTTTCTTTCAGCTACTGCGCCGCATTGAAACAATTGAAAACATTACGATGGTATGTCTTGATTTTGAATTAAAACATTTTTGGTTTACAGTAAATAAAAATTCAAAGACGTGTTCGGGTAATTGTTAAGGAAATACAATTCTAATTTATTTATTTCCGCTGCTTGTTTATACAAGTAAATCCTAACTTAGACTTTTATCATGTTTATGAAGTAACCATTATCTAGTTATATTAAATACTTTTTGAGGAGAATATGTACCTTGCTGCATGAAATGTTGTTGAAAACGGGTCTTACATCGGTTATGGACTAACAAACTAACATGGGGTTTGGATAAAAACTAAAAAAATATTATAAACTCAAGGATTTTGCTATCAAGGCCAATCATAACTTACAGGGCACTGCTCCTGGGCTCGGTTTAAAAAAACACACAATATCTCTTACAACTGGGGACTACATGGTATTTAAATGAAAAATTCAACAACATCTTCCCAATGGAGCTGAGCGCGCGCTTTCCTATTTGACGTTCTTAACCAAAACTTATATCTTTAATGTGCAAAAAATCAAATTACAATGTAAAGCCGATAATATGCATATAAGTAGGATCTGTCCTGTTGGGTGCCTTATTCTGCACCGACTTGACTTAATTACCACTAAAAATACTTGAAACGAATTTAGTTTTTTCTCTTTTTCTGTTCTGTTCTGTTCTTCTATAGCTTTTGCATTTGGCATTGCCTTCGCTTCTCTAATCAATTCTTCTTCGTCCATTTCTCTCCATCTTTCATTTACGGTCACTAATCCTATTCCTTACAGTCATCTAGCAATCATTTGCGGCAATGCCTGGACGCGTGGACATGGCGCCCCTTGCCGTAGTTATTCTCGTCATCATATTCGCCATAAAGGTGCTGCACTTCCAGCAGGTTTGCGTTATTCTCCACATCGTTCTCGCCGAGTTGTGATTCAGTCTTATAGAGGCAGCGGCGCGTTTGCCGCTGCTTAGGTTGTCGGCCAGTTTGTGGCGCCGACTTCTCTCGGCCCGCCTTTAGTTTCCTCTCTCCCGATGGCTCGCCGGCAGCTGAGGCCAGTGAGGTGTTTTCCTTGCGTGTGGCACAGCCACGTTTGTTACTGGCCACCGCTGACAGAGGGGTGGAGCGGTTCTTACTCACAGCACCGAGTCGCCGAGCTGCTACGCGATTGCACTTCACCGGCGGCTGTGGTGCTTGGCCAGGCTTGCTGGTGGTCCTCTTGCGGCCACTGCCCTTAGGTCGGCCGCGCCCAGCCCGAGCGGTCTGATTGGAATAATCGCTACCATCCACTTCCTCCTAAAAAAACGAGAGGTAGTTTAGTAATAAAACAAATGCTTTGGGGATATATCAAAACTCACCTCTTCAACATCATCGTTTTCTTCCTCCTCCTGTTCATCAGTATCCTCCTCTTCGTTTTGTTCATCGTCTTCGTCTTCATCGTTATCTTCTTCGTCATTATGCTCCTGAACGACCAGACCCTTGTCGCGACGACTCTGCTCGACAGCCAGTATCGCATAAGTGGGCTTACCATCATAACGTCTGGGAAGACGGGATTGCAGGGGGCAAATCGACTCCTCCCGCTCAAACTCCTTGACTGCGCGTTCCCGGGCTATTTGGTCTGGGTCCTGGGACAGGACCTCCGCCCAAGAGAACTTCTTTTTCGTCGTCTTCTTGCTCGACTTGGAGCGCAGATTCTTGGGTGAAACACGGTTAGTTAGCGAATGCTCCTGGAAGGGTGTGTTTAACGCCGAGTTTCGCATAACATTCGCAGTAATCTTGTTGTTCAACTCGAAAATGTCACATCGGCTGCCGTCAACTTCATCCTTGACAGAAACGCAGGTGCGCTGGATCTCCTCGCTGCTCAGGCGCATCTTCTCCAGATCGAAGCCCAGATTCTGGTACTCATTTCGGAAGATGTTGCGATAGCGCTCGTAGTTTGGACGCTCCTGGTACGCCAACTTTCCGATCTGCTGCAGGAACTCGCCTAGGTATTTAGGAACTTGCTTGCCATAAAATTGGCGCAGCATCTCTGGCACATCAGTCATGAACAGCTCCTTGGATCGATGCACCTTCTCCTGCTGTTGCTGTTGGGCTGCATCCTTCCACGGTAAGCAGCCCTGGGACCAGTAAACTAGATTATACCCCAGGCACTCAAGATCGCTGCGCCGCGAATGGGCTCCCAAGTGGGCGTCCCGCGAAGTAAACTCCAAAGTACCGTCATGCGCACGCCGCTGATCCATAATGAAGGGGCGATGGACACCGCGATCCTGGTACTTGGAGGCCAACCCAAAGTCAATAAGAAACACGTGCTCCTCCTCCACAGGTATGAACTGGTATTCAGTGGGAGGCTGATTCTCTACCAGCTTGTTGCCCCTTCCGCGCGTTCTGTGCACACCATGCGTTTCCTTCTTGACCTTCTCCTGAGTTCGGGTAGCCCGAGTAGAGACGGGTCCTTTCTTGGCACTAGAGGCCAAAGCAAGCCTACCCCTCTTGTTCGTCGATCGGCGTTCTGAGGGTGGAATGAACTCCTCTGACTCGTTGTCGGAAGACTCGGCCGACTGATCGCTGTTATCCTCGCTCTGCTTAATGGGATCACCTGCCTCGTTAAACTCTTCGCGGTAGCTAATACGCTTGGTGGGTCGCAAATAATGCGACTTGACCATTTCCTCGTACATGGAGTTACGTTTCTCACGGCGGCACGAGCGCACTGGATTGGAGCCACTGAATTGAACGTTATTCCGTCCACGCCGCTTCTTGTTTATGGGCGTTTGGTAGACATCCATGCTGTTGCTGTTGTTACTGTTCGACGTAGCACCGTCATCAAAATCCTCGTCCTCGTCGTCTTCCTCCTCATCGATATGTGCAATTCTTTTGAGAGGAAACCGTTCGCTCTTCATGAAGAAGTCATCATCGTTGGTCTCCTGCTCCGAACTATTGCCACTGTCTGTGGTCTGTTGCTTCTCCTCGTAGTGTTCGTCGAAGTTATTCCCCTTGTTCTTGACAGCAGCGGCTGCACCCACTCGAACTGCCTGCCTCTTAAGATACTTGCACTTGGACACCATCAGGTTTTGGGCTTTAATATCGTTGTGACAGTATCCCTTGTCGTGCAGATTTTCAAGCACATCGATTATATGGATGGCGAGCACCAGCAGTGACTTTTGCTGCACCCGCGAGTTCCTGATCAGCGAGTGGAGGTCGCGATCGAAGCGGGGCAGCACAAGGAAACGATAACGGGCGTCTCCGAAGTAGTGAGTGCCAGAAGCAATGAAGCTTGGTATCCCAGAGGGCGGGCCCTTGGCTAGGGCATGGGGCTGTTGGGCTGGCAGGTTTACAACATTTTCTTCTATAGCCGATGGATCTAAAATACAAGACTTAGACAAGATTCTAACTATATGGGAGTGGTGCTTACCCTTGCTCTGTGAAGTGTTAATCAGACAGTGTATCTCCACGAAAAGTGGTCCATTGGAATGGGGCTCAATCTTAACGACATACTTGGCATTTTCCGAACTAGTCGGGCATACGGTGTCGTCCGAGGCCAAAAATATTTCGCCAAAATTACCTTTGCCTACGGAAGAGTGCGATGACTATTGGAATCATGTTGCAAGACTTCAATCACTCACCTATGGGTCGCCCCAAGCGCCAGGCCTTGGAGAGGACGTCCCGGAGAATGGTACCGTTTACAACCGACGGTCTCAGGGTGTAAACCGGACGCGGTGATTCCGTCACACTCGAATTATTATGGTCACTGGCGAAGCTGGCGCCGGTTAGGAGCAAACCTCTACCTTGGGGAGTGTGCATCAGTGTCGCGGGGACCAACTGGTCCACTTCCATGCGAGCTCCCTCGCGACCGGCAGCCGAGCCCGACGAAGAAGAGTCCTCGTCGTCATTCTCGTGGAATTCGTAGTTGTTTGGGCCGTCCACGCGCTGGTGCTTCTCGGCAGCCTTAATCGCCGACCGCTTCCGTTTTCGGATGCTCCTGTCGGTGGGTGGGCGCTCAAGCTGGAGCCGCTTGCCCATTGTGGGCTCCTGGCTGGGATTTGTGTGCCCGGGAATATGAAGACTCCTCCGCAGACGCAAAAATTTAATCTCGAAATTCAACAAGCAGAGAGTTTGGGGAGCCGACGTACGTTGGATTCAAATTTTTACTGAACGATGTTTTTGTTCGATTCCGCTTTGAAGGTTGATTCTCTTTCACTCGCTATTCGCCGATTTCTATTTCTATAAAAATTGATTAATCAAAACACTGTGATTAGTAAGTGTCTATTTTAAGTTAACATCAGTTATTGTATTAATGCAAATCCGATGGTAGCATTGTTTTATACGATTTTTTCATATTTTTTTTTGCAATATCATTTTTCAAGTTTATTGTTTGTCTGCCGAACGATGGGGAACGAAACAGGTCGGTCCAATTGGGAATGGAACACACAAACAGTAAGAAAAGGAACATGTGTTGGTATACAATATTACAACAAATATTCTCAACAAAACAAACAAAAAATCAATTCGTTTTTCTGGAATTCTCCCCGCGCTTTATTAACCTTGTTTGACGTTTTGAGCGTTTTTATCAGCAAAATGCACATTTTTAGTTACGCGGTTATCAAATACAAGCGCAAACAAACACGGACGCGAACGCACCACCATGTCTGGAAAACAGACGGACAGACATATGTACATATATATACAACATATGTATGTAGGTCCTAATGTCGGAAAAAATCAATTTTTTTTGGCCGGTAATTTGCTACAAAGAATAAAATCCTTCACTATTTATTTCGTTTACCGAGGATCTTCGACAGACAACGCGTATTCACGTGCAACCCGTATTCGGGGCCCAAAGTCAAATTGATTTTTTAGTATGTATTTTTCTCACGTATTACTGGTTCTCTTCTTCTTGTTTTTGAGTTTTCTTTCCCCCATTCCAAAGCAAACTACTTTTTCACTATAGAATCTGGTTGTTTCGTTGCTTACATCTTTCACTTGGTGCGATGGTGCTCAGTTGCACTTTCACAACGCCCTAGCCACTATATTTTAGCTTCCATTTGACTTATTTTCGTAACAATTACACATTATTCCCGAGCACAGCTTAGAGGTGGAGAAAACACGACGCATCGATGATTTTCGGTTCCGATAGCTCGATATCGATGTTCTGCTTCCCAAGCGTTCCAAGTCGCATCATTCCTAACCGATTCGAAATGAGTTTAAACGATAATAGAATTATTAATATAAAATAGAGTAATTTATTTATTGCTTTAACTTTAACATAAAATTACACCCAGCATTTCGAATAACCATCAATTGTTTCCGACAATAGCTCTTAAGTTGCCAATTATTTATTCTCGTTTGTTCCATCACTTAACGATGGCGGTTGGATTTAAATTTTTAGGTGGATATTGACGAGGAAATACTGATGAAAAATGTAACTTGTATTAATCCATTAGTAGCGGATTACATAAGACATAGACTAGGTCCTCTTCACGTAGAGATTCTAAAAGGCAGCGTGGCCGACGCCTCTGAGCAATTACTAAACACAGATGCCGTAATTGCCCTGGAACTGTAAGTTAATTTAATAAAATTATATTTAGTTTAATCCATAAAATTTCTTACAGAATCGAACACGTCTATGATGATGTCTTGAATCAAATACCATCAAATATTTTCGGTTTAATGCAGCCTAAAGTAGCTGTTTTTAGCACCCCGAATGCTGATTTCAATGTGATCTTCAAACCATTTAATACCCTTCTACCGAACGGATTTCGCCACGACGATCACAAGTTCGAATGGACCCGAGAGCAGTTCAAGTCGTGGTGCTTGGGAGTTGTGGAGGAGTACCCCAACTACATGTTTTCAATAATTGGGGTGGGCAAGCCTCCCAAAGGATTCAGCGACGTGGGTCATGTGTCCCAAATAGCAATATTCGTTCGCAAGGATTTTCTCGATATGGAGTTGGTTGAACCCTTGAACTCGTCGCCCACTTTCGAATCCAAGGAACCCTACAAGCTGTTGTACTCCGTCGACTATCCGTTCTCAGTGGACACGCGGACCGTCAAGGAGAAAATCTGGTCCGAGGTGGAGTTCGAAATAAATAGATTTAAAAGAGCCCAGGACATTTCCGAAAATGATACGGAATACGACCAGGTGTCCGGATATAAAATACCAATTGCTGACTTATTGACACGCATTCAGCATGAAGACGCCTCCAAAGATGTTCTGATGGAACTTTTCCAGGAAAAATCCCTGGAGGTTAATGATGACTGCGTAATTATACCGGAATCGGATGAGGAATCGAATGATTCAGATCCTGGTGATTTATGTGATCATTTATCTCAGGAAGCTAGATTTTCCGACCAGGAATCGGAGGAGGAGTGCTGGGATGCAAAGGAAGATTCCTAATTAGAAATGTTCCTGTTTCCACTTCCATGTTCCTTATTTAAAATTAAGTTTTTTTAAAATTAACCTAAGCAGTATCTAGCATCATCATCACAGATTCTAAACATTTCACAGATCATTAATCCCCAATAGTATTCTCCCATAAACCAATTTCATCTGACAGTCTGTTGACATTTTGAGTGCATCAAGGGATGCGAGTGGGTTTTCCCCGAATTTCCTCAATCCTGCTGAACTGACCACCTAATCCACCCCCCAAGCTGGCCGTTTGTAGTGCGAAATGTTGCAAAAATTGGGGTTGCCGCCAAGATGATGACGATGATGTCGCCATGTCGTCTGTCTTGCTGTGGCACCCGCACGGAAATTGCTTTTGTTTGCAACTATATACGGGGGATGCAGGAAGGGATGCGGCACGGAGGAAACGAGTTTAACATGCAGACTTGGCGCAAACGCAGCGCACACCGAGCATAGTAGCTATTAATACCACTGGAGCCACATACATAGATATACATATACAAATATACAAGTATTTGCACACCACCCGGCGAAGGGACTCCGGTTGCGGTTGGCAGTTAATGGAGCTGGCGTCAGGACGGAGCTGGCGGAGTATTGTTGTCGTTAGTTGCAGTTTAACCTCGCTCCTGACATGCTGGCAGGCGAGCCCAATCCGAATCCGAAATTGCCATAGCAATCCTGTTCCTGCCGTGACTCGTGACAAATAGCGCAAAAAACTAAAATTCATAAACATTCACCTGTCAGTGGTTGGAGCACAGACACACACACACACCGAATAGCGCCCCGTTTACCTTGACTTGTGTGTCACACGTAAATAGGAATTTAACTCAATTTTTATTACATTATCCTGGCTTCGTGTCAGTTGTTTTTCGGCTACTACTTCCTTCGCGTTCAGTCGTCGGTGAATCGCAGACATGGCAGATGAGGCTGAAGGAGGCAAGGAGGGCGAGAAGAAAATCGTACACGTATATCCTCTAGTGAAGGTTGGTCACCTATCTTCAAGTCCTTAAAGGGTTAACCTTCTAATCGTATGTGTTTTCAGCACTCGGATATGAACGAGGAGATGCGTATCGAGGCCATCGAACTGACCATCATGGCTTGCGAGAAATATTCATCAAATTATGAGGTATGAAGCATCAGAGATATAGTCCAAGTATCTATAAGATTTAGTCACCATTTCCTTGCAGCACGCCGCCAAAGTCATCAAAGAAACCATGGACAAAAAGTTCGGAATCTATTGGCATGTGGTGGTTGGCGAAGGATTCGGTTTCGAGGTCTCGTACGAAACCCAGAACATACTATACCTGTTCTTCGCCGGGAATTTGGCCATCGTGCTGTGGAAGTGTTCCTGAAAGCGGGTCACCAAACAATCAACAGTACCTAGAAACCACAACCGAACCACAGAAAACTCCAACCCAAGTAACAAGAATTCTAGCATTAACTTTAGTCATATATTAAACTTACCGTTAACGAACGTTATAACTGCCAGTCGTGGTGCAGGTTGATAAATGAAGCAATCAATTCCATGGCAACAACATTGGTGGGTTGGTGGTAAAAAAGACAGATTTTTATTACAAAATGTACCTAGACTCTAGCATTTTGAAAACACGCTTATAAAACTGCTTGTTTGCACTAAACGATAAAACGAAGGACCTAAGAATCCGATTGGGATTCGCGCCTACGCATAGACATCCTCACGATCCGCGCCAGCGCCGTCGCCACCGTCTTCGAGGTTGGAGAAGAGCAGGAAGTGCGAGGTGCGGTGGAGCTCGTGATAGAACTCCTTCGGATTGGCCAGCTGTAGTTCGTATTTCATGTTCGGGTCGTGGCGCACGCCCATGAAGTTGTAGTTCCAGCTGCTCTGGGCCGGCACCATGAAGAAGCCCAGGAACTTGTTCGACAGCAGCATCTGGACGCGTTCGTAGTGCGACGGGAGGTAGCCTTTCGGGTTGTTGCCCTTGTCCGTGTTCTTGGAGCCCCATTCGAAGCCCGAGGGCGTCAGCTTGTAGGCGGTCAGCGAGCACGAGCCGGGAGTGAAGGAGCACGTGATCACTATCGTCTTCTCGCCGTCCCAATTCGAGTTCTCCTGCATGATCTTGGCGTGGGTGGTAATGTCCTGCGGCGACAGCTGCGGCAGCTCGTTGGGCTGCGTGTGAATCCAGCCTAGCGGCTCCATGTCTTTGAGGTACTGGTGCGTGGGCAGGGTGTTGGGAAGGTTGATCGTTTGATGGGTGCCCCACTGTGGCGGCATGACAATGCAGCGAATCTCCTTCACCTGCGGATTGTCCGGCGGACTCACTCCGTACAGATAGCCCGCAATCTGGGCTCTCAGATCCGAAATGGTCACAAACTTCTTGAGGATGTTCTTGGGCAGGATGTAGGTGTAGCCAGTTTCCTTGATGTCGTCCGAGCTGACGTAGATGTGGTTGGTTCGCAGGTGAAGGTTGGTGGCTGAAATGGCTCTCACTCGCCACTCTGTCTTCGAGCTGAAGGTCTGAGTCTCATAGTTGGACGTGGTGGACGTGATGATCTCATCACCGTGCTTGTTCGTGGTCCTTGTGGTGGTGGCCGTGAGCTGGTTCTGCTCCTTGGTCTGCTTCTCGATTTCGGCGATCTGTTGACGTTGCGCCGAGGGAGCACTGATCTCCATGCCCAGAATAATGTCTCGAATCTCGGACTGCGTCAGCGAGGCTACGTTTACGTTGTTCTTTTTGCCGTAGTCGGCCAGAATGAGATCCTTCAGCTGGACTTCCACCTTGATCCACTCCTCGTCGGACAGCGTGGGCCAGATATGATGAGCCTCCGTGATGGTGGTCTTGTCCGGTTTCAGAATGATCTTGGTACGCTCTGTATTCACGTGCAGAGCACGCAGGATCAGGATGAGCCTACTGAAGGCCGTGTACGAGGAGATGGTCTTCAGCCAGTCGTCGTACAGATTGAACAGCACCATCTGCGGCTCAGTGGCCTTCAAAATCAGATCACCGAACTTCTCGACCTTCAAGCAGGCCTGGAAGGGAAGCTGCAGCTCAGAGCCCTTGATCACAATGTTCGGGAAATCGAGCAAGTGCACCTCCAGCGGATCCAACATGCCTTTGCGGGTCACAATGATCTGCTTGGGCTGCTCCTCCACCGGCAGCGATCGAATCAGAGCCGCCACTTCTTCGGCTGTCTTCCACTTGGCCAGCTGGCCCAGACGCTTCTGGCCAGCCCACACCGACGTGTGGATGATCTTCAGGAAAAGCTGTCCCGTTCGTGGATTGAAGATGAAGATGGCTCCGTTGATGGGCTTCGTTGTCAGATTTCCCTCGAATGTCTTGTGGATGGTCACGCGATACACATTCGTGTCATCCACGAACCAGATGATCTGGTTGGAGAACAGCTCGCCGTAGTTCTGGGAACTGAGATACGGTTCCGTTGGCTCCGAGGAGTACAGCTGCAAAGCCTTACGGATGCGTTCACGCAGCACATACAACGCGGGATTGGCCTTCATGATCTTGGCCATGGCCTGCTGAATCAGGGTCTTGCAGCCCGGGAACCAGTTGCCGTACGCAGAGTGCAGATTGTAGGCCAGATCAATGGCTATTAGAACTCCCGTCGGCGAGGGATAAATGGACATGTTGTCCGTGGTGTAGTCCAGGAACTTGGCTCTGGCGTACCGCTCTACATCGTGGGAATCGTAATCTCCCCAACGCAGCTGAATGTCCAGCCAGTACTTCTGGGTGGTGGTGTTGTCCATGGTGTCCTTAGTGTCTGCTAGCAGTGACGGACGCGACACATTCCACTTGTAGGCGGGGAAGAGCAGGATGTCCGCGCACGAGGAGTTCATCTTGTAGGATTTACGGGGATGGATGGTTTCCTTTTGCACCGTCTCGATCTCCAAGGCGTCCAGCTCTTGATCAAACACCTGACACAGATCCATGACGATCGACTCGTGGATCTTTTGCCACAAATGGGCACGGAAGATCTGAATCAGCGAAATCTTCAGGGTGGGGATTTTGCCGTGCATGAAAATACCCGTCAGATCCAATTGCACTTGGAAACCAACGTACACATTGGCACGGTTGATCGTGGGCGACCACCAGAGGGTGAAGCGACGGTTGGGAATCTGGTTGAGACCAGAACGCTGCGCATTGGTGAGCTTCTTGTACTTCATGGACTCCTCGAAACCGGAGGCCTTCTCCCAGAACAGACCCTCCCAGGTGGGGAAGTAAGTTCCCTTGAAAAGCGTGTGCTCCAAGATGCCCTCCACACCGCCCAGGGCTTGAATCATGTCCGTGCGGTAGTTGTTCAGATTCCAGAGCTTTCCGTCGTGTCGCTGATGCGTCCACCAGAAGGGATTCTGTTTGAGAACCTGGTACTGCTTGAACTCGGTTCGAATGCGCCAACCCTTGTCGTAGGCTAGCGTGTGCCGATCCTTCTGGAAGAGCGTGTTAATCCTGGGAATACCACGATCCCAGCTATCCTCCAGATCTTCCAGCGTGAGGCGGCGGTTTTGGGCATTCGCCTCTTGGCGCTTGAGAGCGTATTCTGCCCACACGCGCTGGGAATCAATGAATTCACTTTCCCACGGCTGAATGTACCTGTACAGATTGGGAATCAGCTGATCCTCGTCATGAGACATACCTTTAAATGCAGAACCATTAGCAAAACCTTAAAAAGGAGAATAAAGTTAAACTTCACCTGATCGGAAATGGGTGATGCCCACATCTGTTTGTTTGGACCAGCGCAAGTCCGATTGGGGAATCAGGACGTGGCCCATGCTCAACATGCCCAGACCGCCCAGCTCCTTGGGGGTGTAGAAAACCACGGGCGGGAAACGGGAAGGCATTTTGGAGTTCAGGCCAATCTTGATACGAGTTTGGATCTTGTTCTCGCACTTCACCAGCAAATCAAGCAGCTCCTGGGTGTTGACCACAGCCTCACGGAAATAAGTCATCAAACCAATCAAGGCGGTGTTCCACTTGTTGACAATCTGTAATGTTAATATTTTAATTAAGAAACGAAGCTTTAATTATTTTTTAATCTGTAGAATACCTTTGTGAAAGTGGTAGAGCCTGAAGCCATGAGGATCTGTCTCACACGATTGTGGAAGCGACCCAAGGACTCATCGTCTACGCGCAGGAAACACTGGGCAGTGCGTTCCTTGGTGATTTCGTTTTGCAAGTTCCACACGCCATCACGGTGGGTGAACTCCTCGTTTTGTGTGCGGCACTGTGGAAAGAAAACATCAGGAATTAAAGTGCTCTTAATGATATATCTCAGCTCAAGGAACCTTTGGCAAAATACGGCACTCAAAGCCGCTCATGTTGAACAGCAAGTTGGGATTGTCCTTGGAATAAACAGAAACAAAGGTGTTCTCCCAGCCAATGGTGGTCACCGATCGAGGTAGACGGTTCTTAATGTCCCAGAAGACAGCACGGCCCCTGAAAATAGTAAGAACCATGAACGTTACTTAACTTCAAGACATTAGTTTGGAAGAAAAAAACCTACAAGTTCACGTCGTGCTTCATCAAACGCATGCGAGCATCTCTGGGCCAGCACTTCTTGTTGTTGTAGCCGACAATGTTCTCGTTGTTGGGATCCGGGTGCTCGGTCAGGTATCTTTGGATCAGATCACGTGCCTCTTCGGCAGAGAACCTAAAGAACAAGTGAATCCTGTCCACATAGCGACAGTACAAACGAATGGGATGAGCCGTCTCGGTGACGGCATCCTGGAACGTTAGGAAATCGTTTGGCATCTGTGGTGGACCGGCCATTTCGCTGGAACGGTGCAGGCCCAGCACCAAGAGATCCAAAACCAGACCATAGTACTGCGTGATGAACGAGGAGAACTGCAGGCCGCGTATGATGCCGTAGCTGTTGGTGTGGTTCATGTCCTTGTAGTTGATCACCACGTTGTTCTTGGCGGTCATGTAATCGGCTATGTTGTGATCGACAATCAGGCGCAGAAGTCGGTTCAGAAGCGTCAAGTCAATTTTCTCGTAGAGTTTCTCGAACCGCGACTCCAGCAACACGTTGCATTCACCCTCGCCCACATCCCACACATCCTGCAAGTTGTTGATGCCTGTTTTGGATAACATATTTGAGCTTAATTAATGGCGGGAATAAAGTGACTCTATCATTCACTTTGGTGACCTTTAATAACGTTGCTATATGGATATCATCTTTGGCGTGAGGTTTGCAACAAGGGGATTATCAAATACCTATCACATTGCCACAAATCACACACCCAAAATGTCCAGTAAAACCTGTTCACTATTCAACCCTTTGAGACCCTACCTTGACACCATTTGTAGGCCAAGAGTGGCGGTGGTTCCGTATCACTGGGCTTGATCCACGGCGGGAAGAGTCTTCTTTTGTCTGCCTCGTACCACAGATACTGATCCAAGTAGGCGTCTGTGATCTTCTCCAGAGGCTCCACTTCGTAGACGGGTATAAGATGGCTGTACAAGTCCATAAACTCGATGCCGACCTGGAATTACAGAAGAAAAACCTTAAAACTTTACTAAAACTAACACAAAGGCAGGTGACGAACCTCTTTGAAAGCTCTCTGGGTGAGCAGGTGACGCTTGATACGGGACAAGGCTTCGTGGGGATTGTCATAGGCCTGCTCAATGAGACCCAGTTCCTCGCGTTGGCTCTGATTCAGCCTAGACTTGACACTGTACGCCTCCTTCAGCCGTTCGAGAGCCAGGATCAGGAGCTTGGTGTCGTGCTTGTAGGACAGCGGCGGGAAAGGAATGGGCGCGAACCGACGCGACTCCAACCAATGTACAGTGGTGGTGTAGATGGCCACAGCCTCCTCGGGTGAAATGTAGGGACCATCCTTGAGGTAGTTGTGCTGTCTTTCCTGCTCTGCCTTCAAATAGAGTCGCGTGAGTCGTCCCAGATTCTTCTTGCACACGGTCTTGTCCACGGTGGCTCCGCGACGAATTCTCTCCCTGTTGTAGTGCGCGGTATTTGTCCACCAGTCCGCCTTCATCTTGACATAACGCAGGATCATATTCTCAATCGGAATCGGTAGGCCCGGTACCTTCCACGGAATGTTTGCCTTCCAGCAGCGCCACGCCTCCGAAAGATGCTGCAGAATAGTACGCGCCTTGTTCTGTTTGATACCCTCGGGCATCATGTCCACGATGTCGTGCATCACGGAGGCACGCAACTCTAGATCGAAGTGGGATTCAACGCGCTGTTTGGTAACCGTTTTGGCCACACCCTTGGAGTGTCTACCCTCGAACTGACGCGACAACAGGTTTCCTAGCCAGCGCTCCAAGAGCGGGGTGATGCCACGCATAAAGAATAGCCACACGCGCCAGCCCGGCGCCCAGAAACCACAACCAGGACCCTTGCCAACGGGCCCCGTATTGAAGCGGTAGTAGATCAGATGCTTAAGATCCTTGCACATGCGAATCTGCCTCATCAGCTTGTACTTGTAGCGATACATTCCTGTCAGTTGGCCCACGTGGGCGAATATGTACTGTAGACCGTCGGCCAGTTGGAAGGCGTCCACGTTGTTCAATCGGTACTGCACATGTGAGTCGATGATGAGCTTGGTCAATCTCAGAATTTCACGACACAGATGGAAGGCTATTAGGAACAGAATTTAACATCAATTACCAGTTGATATTTAAAAGAAAAGTGTACTTACCATTGCCGAAACGCGACTTCTTACGCTCCTTGGTCGTCAAGGTCTTAACCGGTTTCAAATTGAAATTATAATCCAAATGCAAATAGTTTAGGTTCTTACGGTGGATCAGAAGGTTCAGCATGTTGTATCCCTGACGGCAAACCTGCAGTCCAGCCTCCACCCAGTCCAATGTGGTGGTCTGGAAGAATTTGGTGGCCTTGAAAGAACGGAATAGGTAGCGCTTCTTTTGGGGCTTAGGTTTCCGATGCTTAAGGGCGTTCAGAACATAGTACTTTAGCAGTTTCTGATAGCTGACGCGCACTTTGACCGGATGTCCCGGAGGACAGTGCTCCTTGTACCAACACTTGACCAATGGCACATCGATGGCACGTCGAGAACGACCAGAGCGCATGTTGAAGGGACGAGGAGCCCACAGCAGTGCTATGCCATTAGCTGTGTTGTCCGTATAGAGCGGAGTATCCTGCAGGAAGGGCTGCACATCGTCCGGCAAAGTGAAGTCCTCGTCATCATCCGGCAGCGGTTCCTGCACCTTCGAATTGGAGTTCCGGTGCGATATGGGGTTGATAAGCGGATCAAAGTAAAAAGCGGGCAAATCAGGATCTTCGGTCTTGATGTAGACCACGTTTGGTGTGTGATACCTGAAAGCAGGATAATAAAATAGTATTTAAAACTATATTTCATATAATTTATGTTGTTATGTATGCAACTATCAGCAGTATCGATTTAAAATCCACAATCGCTACGAACATTCTCATTGCAGCTCCCATTTTTATCGCAATATTGGTAGTAAACTGGGAGCACATCGTTGTTCTCACGTGCCATGAAGCGCTTCCAGCATAGGGATTAACTTGGAAACGTTACTTACACGTAAATATGAATAGGAAATGAGTATTATTTGGATCTTACCAGCTCAGATGCACAAAGTGAGGCATATTGTTGTACAAATAGGGAAAAGCTATCCGATACTCAGTACGAATGGGCTGCCGAATAATGACTTTGTTGATGTCATTAAACTCGTTCCAGTCTTCATCCCTAAAACAAGAAGGAAACTAAATATGATGCCAACTCTAAAAGTCTTATAAACTATCCTACCCCACGTTGTGATCTTTAATCAAGGGCTCAAATTTGGGACCGCCAGGAATGGCCATATTCAAAGCCTTCGCGGTGAAGAAACTCTTAGGATCGAATAGATAAAAGAAGTTATTGTCCACCAGATCCGTAAGCAGTTGATTGGCCAGCCGATACAGGGTGGCCAGTTGGGGCAGCGAAAGATTCCACTTGCGATATGTGGAGCCATTTACGAATCTGGGAAATAAAATTATTACAATCGAACCAAAAGAATGAACCTTTTATAGCTTACTGCGTATCAACTAGAGGACGATGATCATAGAACCACTTGTATACGGCATTATCTTCGTCGTTGTCCAGCTCGATTTGAATGGCTTCCAAAGGCTCCACATCGAGCACGTTGTCCGCATAATCTAGAGGCGGTTCTTCGTCATCAAAGGGCGGGAAACGCATTCTCTTAAAGTGACGACGATCGCGCTTCTCACGCCTCATCATAATCCACATGGTACTGATGGAGATTCAAACCATAAGAACAGAAAAGATAAAAATCGGATGAAGCTTACCCCCACTGTGCAATGTAGACCGGCTCAATGACCCAGGGAATCTCGTTGACAAAGGTAATAGCTCCAGTGATGTGGTAGAGAACCTGCACATCCCGGATCTGCTCCCAGGGCATGGGCATGTTCTCCAGCAACTTTAAAACAGCGTGCGGCATATACTTGAGGGCACCCAGATACACACGCTTGTCGTGACGGTACTTTCTGGACGTCATGTCACCATGATCACGTATGATCTTCCTGATGTGCTCCGGAGGCATATCCTCCTTCTGAGTGTCTACAAATCCAAACTTTCGCTTCTCAGCGAATCGCTTTGACTGCAGGTGCTGCCACTTCAGTGCCTTCTCCTGCAGCTTCTCCTCCGTGAGAATGTCTGGCTTCGGCGTCGGAATCTGCCCTAAGCCCGGTTGCCCACCGGCAGCGATGGGAATCCCGTTTGCGTGGCCACTTTGTGGAGGTAGCGGAGCGCCAGGCGGGGGAATCTGCTGGATCTGGTTGGCCATCTGCTGCTGGGCATGCAGTTGCGCCTGCTGAGCATGAGCAGCCGCATATGCCTGCTGGGCCATGAGTTGGGCGGCCCAGGCATTCTGCGGCAACATGTACGGCGGAATGGACATTATATCCGGTTGTTCGACCCGTTTAGTGTCCTACCCTAATCAATAAAAAAAGAGGACCGACATTAGCATGTGCACACACACAGTCACTTCCCGTCGGGGGAAAACGATGCCGACGTTGCGGTCTTTTGCAATATTTTAACAGCCTAAAAAACGATCAAAAACTGCCGCCGACCAACAAATTCGTGCTTTAAACAGTAACTCTAATGTTGGTCTACCGAATTCTTACCTATTTTCCACGTTTAATCTCTTTCTTCAGCGGCAAACTGCAATTTTAAATCTTTGCAAAATGAGAAAAATACTTTTTCACGCTAGCATGCCACGCTAGTGGTGGAAAATCTTCGATAGCTCTTTTGACTAAAAATAAGCAGCGCCATCTTCTGGACGAGTAAAAATTTATCGAAATTTGAATATATTTTGGACCAATCGATTTTATATCGTTTTTTGCCGCTGAAAATATTGAAATTTTAAATACTCTAAAGTTCTCAACAGAAAAAAAAGTATTTCCTTAAGAAATAGCAAACTATGATGTATTATTTTATCGAGAATCCTTAATGTTTTAAAGTATAAAAATTAAATAAAGTGAATCAGCTAATAATCAATTATCAAGTTGTTAATTAAAGTTAATTTGAATGTAGCTTTTGCGTCATTTACTCCTAAAAACAATTCTTATAAACAATTAACCAATTTAGAAATTGAAATCAAGTCATCAATCTGACCCTGATCTGAGACAGCTCATTTCCCACCGGGTAACGACATCCCCAGATTCCCCATGTTTGTCCAATCAATGATCATGTGCGAAATCAATCTCCGGAATGGTTTGGATCCCTATAAATATTGTTGATCTGTTATTCTGGATCACAGTTTACGGACAACAACGCATCTAACAAGAACACCCGGCTGGGAAAAAAGTTGCTAATTTGCCACAAATCACAAAGCTCAAGTAAATCCCCTAGAAGTTTTGTAAACAATCTCAGCAATGACAAAGGTAGTGAATAAAACAATTTAGGTCAGTTAAGTATTATAATAACATTAGTTTCTGCCTTTATTTTAGATATTTTCCATTATTTTGGCATTGTCCTTTGTGGCGGTCATATCTGGAGGTCCTATTGAGGTAAGGATAAAATAAAGAGCAAATTCTCCATTGAAAAATATATAATTATTATTTTCAGAACGAAAATGCAGGTGCCGATGGGGACCTAGCCACGGCCGATTCCATTGGTTACGGTTATTATGCGGCTCCTGCTCCTCTGTACTATGGCGGGTATGGTGGAGGATATGGTGGTGGCTACAAGTACGGAGGATACCGAAGCTATGGAAGATACTACGGCGGGTATTACCGCCCGAGAATTTATCCTGTGTGGGGTTAGACCCAGTGACATTTAAAAACTGAAACCGTTCCTATATTACCATTGCAGTTACCAAAGAAATTATACAAGCCCCTCACAGCTTAACCCTTTCACTGACTTGAAACTCATTTTGATGTTTTGGCGATGACGTTAGAGGAGTTTTTGACCCCAGGCACAATTAACACCGGCATAATCGCAATAAAAACAAAACAGTTTATATACAGAGACGAGTACATACGCATGTGCGGCTTATTATTTTCAAATTTCAATTGTCAGGCATCCTAAACCGGATTTTTGAGACCTGGCCCGGCGCTTCCAAAGAAATTGTAGCGATTTCAATGGTCAGCCAACGTAACAACAGCCGGCCAATAGACCGAGTTGGCCAAGAGTAATTACACATCTGAACTGCCGACCCGAACCTGGGGCTTGGACCCAGCACAGTCAGTCTCTTAGCCGGGCTTTAACGATCCACACATGCTTAATATTCGGGCCATAAAGAGGGTCAACCATGAAAGCTCACGATTACAGTGGATAACGTACCATTTTAGTAATCATAATTGTGAAAAATTGCTTTTTAAGGACTTTTCCTAAAAATACCACCTTTTTATGTGGACCGCGATCATGACAACATCATATATTAAATTAATATATATTTAGTGTCTTTGGTGTTACACTTCTAGACCCAATGTTAATTCCCCTTTTTCAAAAATTAGAATTAATATCTTAGTTATTATCTTGGAATGTTCATTTCCGTATAAATAATAAAGATTCCAAAGTTTAATTTCTTATCATTTCTTACACAAAAGATTTCAAAGTATTTTCTTATCGCAATTAAAAAAGTGCTTCCGTAAGCCAAACGAATTAAAAGTCGCTGACCAATTATGACTAATACTAAAGGATTAAAAAATAATCCTTTGATATAATATTTAATATGGAATGTTGGGTAGGAATTCAAAAGGTCATCGACAAAATGTAAATATATTTTAAGGGTCTTTGTTTTTATTTTGGAAATGGCTTACACACATATAAGCTAGGATATAAATAGGTTATCTAATGGCCACGGGATGCCTTATGGTGTTTGTGGTTGTGTCCGGATTTCTGCGATTGGTGGTGTGTGGAGTGAGAGCGAGCCTTCCGGCTGGAGTGCCCATCCTGCGACCTATGAGGGTGCTTCTTGTGAGACTTATGCGTCTTGGCGTGTCCTTTGACGTGTGTTGCAGCCTGGTGAGCCACCTCTCTGCCGTGCTTCAGATGTTCCTTTTTATCTGAAAGTCCATGTTGCTGATGGCTGTGGTGGTGCTGCGACAACTGGCGCTTGTGGTTCAGGTGATGGTGCCGGCTGTTTTCATCCTTGGCGTCCAATGGTTGCATGGCCAAGGCCACGGCGACCAAGAGCGTGGCAAAAATAATAATCTGCAAATTTTATCCAATGCAATTCAGTTAAATTGTGTAAACATAATTGGAAAGGATCGAGAACTGAAGCTACCGCCCCTTATCTATAGTCCGATAAGATAGCTTTCGACCCATCGATTGTACACTCACCGCCTTCAGCATGATGATACCTCCTGGGATATTGACTTGACTCCGCTTACAGACCTTTTATTTCGTGTAAACTCCGCGGCGTTCGGATCTCGACTGTTTTTCGGAACCTCTTCCGTTGCTGGTTATATCGTTATCTCTTTATATATGTAGCCATGCCTGCTGGTGCTCCACGAAAACCCCTATATCACATAGATAGGTATATAGTAGCTTTTTTTTTTTTGAGAGCGGCAGAGTTTTATCGCCCATAAACAGGCAGTGAGCCAATGTATTTTAATGTGGAACAGCTGTTGTATGATTTCTAAGTCCAGATTAAAAAGGGAAGATGCTCAGTCATGCTCAGTAACTGTTTGCTAAAAAATAATTTAACGTTTATGCCAAATTTGTTTTACAACTTATAGAACATATTTTTTTATAAAAAGAAAACATCTTCTAGATACATATACCATTGTTGCCAATGAGAGTTTGTCTATTGAAGGAACAAAGAAATTCTTTCTGTAAGGTTTTGTTTTTATGTCTTATTTAAAATCATTAAAAACTCTCTCCATTCCACGTACATATCTAGTGGAAGGTTATAAGGCAATCATAACCAAAGCAAAAGCCACCTTTATCGGTATTTACTTTCGTTATCTTCAGCTAAAGAGGCATCCATTGGAACTCAGCCACTTCCACTTGAGATATTCGCAAAATAATAGTACGCCATCAACGGCGCGTCATAAATATTGATTTCAATTATCAAGAAAACAAAGATAACGTTTTTTTTTTTAAGTCATACGTTTTATTATTGGAATCAAGTAAATCATACTTAAATATGAAAAAAAAGGTATAATAAAAAAGTTCTTTTGTGTGGTGTGGAATTCTATTGAATATTACGTTTATTAATATTGGATATAGTATTTGAATTTGAATCTTCTGGCGTATGTGAATAAATGTGCTTCCCTTATAATGCTTCTTCGTATCCTCTTTTATCTCTTCTTTCTTTTTTCTTCGTACTAAGTATACAAAAAGTGAATAAAAATATATAAAATATATTATAGATATAAGAAATTGGGATTAAGATCTTCATATATACGCATGGATATAATAATTGAAAAATACATGAAACGAACAAAAATATTATTAAAACGTAGAAAAAAACATAAATATGACATTGATTCAAGATTAAACTTAGGGTTAATACATTGTATTTTTTTTTTTGACATTTTTTTCTTTTATATTTTTTTTTACATTTTTTGCTATATTTTTGATTATATATTTGTAAAATATTTTACGATCCGGCTCTTAACGTGGCTGGCCATATTGAAAAGACTACCAAAGAAATACGCCGCTTCGAAGACAATTTTAAGCGATTTTCGACAATTTTAACACCGGTATTTTAAATATTGAATTTGTTTTGTTTCTTTGAACACATTGGGGCCAATATGTCAGTGTTACTAAGTATAAGCTATAAGTTTGCGGAAACTACGATAGTTGGATAATAAATTGTTATTGATTTTTGTGATTAAATTGATCGGTGTGATGGTAAAATTCTGCGAAAATCGCCCCCTCTGCCGCCTGACTACTCCTCGATTTTATAGAAGAAATAATTGTTCTCATTGTCGTTGATGGCAGCAGGTGGGGCCTGTGGTGCCTTCCTCGACAGCGGCTCGAAACCCATAAACAAAAATGCCTCAATCAAGGGAACGCGGTTCGGCTGTTCCTTGCTCATCGCAATTACGACGCCATCCACCTCCAGCTTATCCTCGGCAAACTCGAGAAGCGAGACGAAAGTCTGCTTGGAGCCGGCTGCTGGCAGTTCCTTCGGCAAAGCGACATAAAGCAAATTGTTGACCGGGTTCAAAATCGTCATCCAATTGGTGTATAAGTCCTCGGTGACATGCAGTTTGATGGAAATCTGCACCGGCTGGTCGTGCTGCAGGATTTGGCGCAGCACCTCCTGGCAATCATCGTGCGAGTACAGCGAATGGAGGTCTCCCTGCGACTCCAAGTCGGAGATTTCCGACGAGGAGGACGACGGCGAAGACGCCCTGGAGCCGGCCTCGTACAGACTGCTACCAGCCGAGTCGACCGAAGACTTACGGCTGTGGCCTGAAAGGATATTTCAAGGATACAGTTAGTCAAAAAGAAATGAAATGATGATGATTAACTTACCCGTTAAGAGCGATGCCCTATCGTGATCTGTTCTGTGGTGGACAGGGACATCAGGACCACCACAGAGGCCCTACGCCGAGAGAGATGCGGTAGGACTCAGTTGACATGGTCGTGGCGCAAGAAGAAGTCGAGATGGTGCGGAGTTTGCCATCGGCAATACCGCTGTCATTAAACTCTCTTCTAACGAAGCCACTACTAAACTTTGGGTCGCTGTAGACAAAAAAGTAGGTAATTAGGTATTAAATAAATATTATCGGGTTTGGACCGGGCCTGATCGATTTTGTGTGTCCTTTTTATGGCTTAAAACCTTTTTCAATTCCTAAAACTTGTAGGTTAATTGTAATGGGTGGTTTTACCTAATCATGATTACGATTGAAGACAATTGGTGGCTGAACGGCGCAATAGCTGTTGGACAACTGATGAATTGTCGACGAAGGAAAAAGAGTGTAGCTTATCAGCAAATGATGCAGGGACAATTAAATTAAATACGCTTTATGACGTTAAGTTGTTTGTGTACATTTTGAGGAGATAAGATAAGCGCGCCGTTTATCGGAATTACGATAGCCGATAGTCACGACTTCAAATGCTGCTCTGCGATATCTTTAGAGATGGGACCTAAGACGGCAGCGGTCTGGCAACACCATAAACGCCATTTTTCGGAGCTGTCAAATCGCACACATACACGGACAGATACACGACGTAAACCTTTGCGCTAAGAAAAACTCGCGAAACATCAAGCGGCATCAGAAAAAACCGGAAAAATCAATAGTAACTACACAGAAAACACGAAAAAACATAAAACAAAGGAAATATGTCTATTGGCGTACCCATTAAAGTCCTGCACGAGGCCGAGGGCCACATAATCACATGTGAAACCATCACCGGCGAGGTGTACCGCGGCAAGCTAATCGAGGCTGAGGACAACATGAATTGCCAGATGACGCAGATCACGGTGACTTACCGGGACGGACGTACGGCTAGTCTGGAGAACGTCTACATTCGCGGCTCTAAGATCAGGTTCCTCATTCTGCCGGACATGCTAAAGAATGCCCCGATGTTCAAGAAGCAGACGGGCAAGGGGCTTGGTGGAACGGCGGGACGCGGCAAAGCGGCCATTCTACGCGCACAGGGTGAGTTTCAGGTCACCTATTACAAGACAAAATCTTAGGGGCTTCCCTATACCATTTCATCAAGAAAATAAATCCTTCTTGGGTGAAAGACATCAAGATTTAAATTTTATTTAACTTGATTTTGACTTGTAATATTAACTAATGAAAATTTTAATATAAAAACTAAACGATTAAAAATTTTAGCTCGAGGCAGAGGCCGAGGCGGACCGACTGGAGGTGGAAGAGGCACTGGAGGACCACCGGGAGCTCCGGGAGGCCCTGGCGGACGAGGAGCCTGGCAGGGTGGACCCACCGGCGGACGTGGACGCGGCGGCCTGTAGGAATTTCCGTCGCAACAATGCATTTTTGATAATCTTTAAGCTGCGGGATCTATATTTTATAAACGGGCGGGCGAAACTTTAAACTTGTGTGAAGTATTTTAAAGTCAATAGCAAAGAATACAAAGTGAAATTGAATTCCACAATGCATCAATTATTTAAACGAGGATCGGCCTGGAATGTAGAAAACGATTAACCACCAACACCAGCAGACGCTTACAGCTTAGCTTAAAACCATATAAGCACACCGATATCGTCGCCTTTCGAATGTTATACAAAGAGAGCAATTCCATGACAGTATTACAATCCGTTTTAACTTGACTGTCGACGGATAGCTCTCTTCATTTCACTATTCGTGGAGTATCCTTGCGGCCGGAGCCGAGAACAGACAGGACAACGGACAGATTAGGTCGGGGGACAAAACGAAATTAGTGGGTTAGTGTCGGAGCGAAGCGTCGAATATTATACAAAGAGAGCAATTCCATGACAGTGTTAATGGTATCTGGACTGTCGACGGACAGCTCTCTTTATTCACTTATTCGCATTTGAAATTCTCGAGGTGTTAATCAAACATTCAATGGGGACAGACACAAAATACGTATGGATACGTATGTACATGGTGTATAGATATTTTGGTTTTTGCCGGCTAGGGCGGACGTGAAAAATGCCAAGCATTTTGTTGTTTCCCTGCCATATACCCAATTAAATCAACAAACTGCGCACTTGGCAGAGCTCTGTGAATTGAGCGCAAATGGGAGGAGGCCTGAATGGTAGGCGTTCGGGTGCATTGCGCTTAATGGATGCAATTTATGAGGATGGGCGGAGGTCCATAATAATTCTCATGCAATGCCTATGACATCTCAATCGATGGCACGTGCAGGACAAGTGAAATTGCCTAACGACCTTGCGTGATCTCTAATTTCTCTAAAATAATGGGCTGCTGACGTACCCCAGAACGGTCTGGTTCTCTGGTTGCAAGTTGTTGCTCGATGTCGTCATCGCTGGCGCAAACTAAGGTAAATATTTGGTCTAGACTCTAGGGATGATTTATCACAGCTGCAGTTCACTATCTTTTGGATTTTGGATTTTTGTCTTGTGTGTGCTTTGGTTATCACAGTTTCGTTGCTTTCGGTCCTTTGACGCGGGCGCACTGTGATTCACATCGAAAAGTTCTGTAATCTGGCCTGATATTCAACTTTAATTCCCTCCTGGGTTTTCAGTTCAGATATGTGAGGTGCTTTGCTTTGGGCGTTTGTCTGGCGACTGACGACATCCAACCGGCTGTGGCATCATTTATGTGATTAAGTTCAGCTACTAAGAGGAGGCCTCTCGTCGAGATATACTACTGTCGGGGGTACAGTCGGTCATCATCAGATATGGATCTCAAAATGAATTTCAATAGTGTGGAACAGACTAACGGCCCAAGGTCGCAAATTTCTCCTGTTTTTTTTTTTTTTTGCGACAATATATAGGGGGTTTGGTTAGGGGTTGGGTCGTAGAAAATTGCAAAACAAAGCGAAAATAATTCATACTAAATTTGCATGAAAAGATACGCCGACAAACCCCACAATTTGTGTTTATTTAGTCGGCCGGCTAATACGCAAATTCGAGAGGAAAACACAGGCGGTAGGGCTAAAAATATATCGGCAAAAAGTTAACTTATACAGACGAAGAAAGAAAAAATAAATTTATAGGAAAATGTTCTCCATTCCACACAATATGGGCAGCGTTTTTGCCTGCACGTGTCCGGTGTTTGGGGCGAAATTCGTATACATTTTCCAAAATAAAAACAATGACGAATCAATATCGCAATATAGCAATAACATCAATATAGCAATCGCCAACCACAAAAGATAGTGAGTAACACAATAAAATGACCGATAAAAGGTGAATATACAGTCAGCACAGAAATTATTCGGACACCCGTTAACATACATTTTTTTAAATTAATAATTCGAAAGCAAAAGTAAAGCATAGCATAAAAAACGCACGTATTTTTCTAGATCGAAGTATTTCTAAGTAAATTTCCAAAAAAAAAACGCCGATTACCTTTCTATTCACAAAGAAAACAGATAATCTTGAAGACGTACGAATAATTTTTTTGCCGAATTTTAAGCTCTTGTTTTGCTTTTCTTTTTTTATTTATATACACAACAAAAATAATTAAATTTTTATTTAATAATATGTTTTTAATAATTAGTTTTTAACAGAAAAAAATAAAAACAGTGCCAAAAATTTCATTTTTTCCCAGAAATAAGCCTTTATATAAGTATATTTCGGTGTCCGAATAATTTCTTTGCTGACTGTATTAATACATATTAATGCTAAATAGTAAACTGAAGATGAGTTATAAGATAAAGTCTATAATTAGCAAGAAATAACATGTTTTTAGTATTAAAATAACACCAAGAAGTTCCTGTTTTTAGTGCTTAAAATGATTTATGAGGAAAATGAAAGCCATTGTTTAGCTCCAAGGCCTGGAATTCTTTATCAGTAGTCCTATACGTGTGCCCCCAACTGTGGGTAGCGAATATCTTATTCCCATGAACTGGTGCTACTCACATTTGTATTATTTTACAATTCAAATGTATTTTAAGTATTCCAATGTATGTACATACATACATACATATGTATGTAGCTCACGTGTTAGCAACAAGCAACGGTAATCGAGTAATGCTATGGAATGTTATATATTTCATAATTCCGGTTATATTCCTGACAAACCTTGGATATAAGAATATTTGTCCCTGTTAGAGGATTGCAGCTAAAATGGAATGAAAACAAAGCAGAGCAATTCATGCCATATAGTAGATTAGATCTAGTCTAGATTCTAGATAACTGGCAGGTGATAAGTCCAGTAAAACGAACGGCTTGTGTAACCACATCAAAAACAGTAATGCTCGACAAATATTGGGGGACCAGGGTACACTTTTCAGAGGCTAGAGTGCAAACAGCAGTAAAAAAAAAAAAAAGAAGAACGACAAACAAGCAAGATTTGAGGCAAAAGCTCTGGAGACGATGTCATAAAACAAACACGGGCACCTTGACTATACACTGCAGGCCCAGAACAATAGACGCGATAAGGGAGGGAGGACATGATCTCCGATAAGATAAACTGGTCTCAGCGTCGAAAGAAGCTGCTAGAAACCAGACGATGACCCAATATCGTGCTCTCCCTCTCTTTCTATCCTTCACTTATCTGCCTTGCCACACAACAAAGAAGTCGAGTGCAATGGCGAGTGGAATTTTCCGTTGTTTACAGCCATTTTCGTTGAATATGTGTGGTTGTTTATGACATAATACTGTTGCAAGATTGGCTGACGTGCAACATTGGAAAATAACTGGAAGTGGTGGCCATTTCTACAGAAACTGGAATAAAACTGGGCTGGAATGTTCTATAGCATTTTAGGTTATTATAGAAAGTTCGCTTTATTCCATTGCATACAGTTTGTTTTGCAAATGCCAATTTTTTTTAGGGCAGAAAAAATACACATATGTGTGTATATACATATCTATGTGCATCCGTATGTTCTCCAATTGGAAAAGGTCGAACTGTAAATAAAAGCTCACAATGTTGCCAGACTTTCCACCATGATGTGGTGTTTGAGCTAATTAATTGTTTTATGTATGTACAAGCTGCAAACAAATGGATTAAGTTTATTATCTCATAGAGCGGATGCTGTTGAAGCTTTTTTTTATTGTTTTTATAATCAACAAAAGAATCTGGTTCTGTTGCCAGGGTGGCAACCATGCAAGGCGGCCATTTTGGCTAGCAGCAATAATAACAAAAACAAAAGAAAATAAACAATACATATAGGGCAAAATAAAGTAAAAATTAAATTTCAAAAAAACAAAACTGTTTATTTTCTGAAATTAATTATTTACTTTACTTACAAAACGGACTGCCCATAAGGGCTCTTTCAATTGGTAAAAGTTCCGTTAATTGGTTAGCTGTGTACGTCATTCCTGACTGTAAAAAAAAATATGTACGAACACAGCTGCTGATGTACATATGTACATACATATGTATGTGAACGTGAAAAAACCAACACCACCGAATTAGCAGGTTACACTAAAACTATTACACTACAAACCATTACAACCAAGCCTACATGCCACCAATTGGAAGGGGTCGTGTTACGAACTCCCTAGCACTTTTCTTTTTTCTTTTTCTCATTTTCTTTTTCACACTACAAAATCGAACTGGCACTTTTTCCTTTATATAAACTTACAGTTTATTATTCATATTGGATGGCATTTTCACACTTAATGGTTTCAAATTAACGCACGTAGAACGAATTGATGTGAACAAAAAGAAGGCTTTCGTAGAGAAAACTGGCTTTTGTTTAATGGAACGAAACTCCAAGTAATTGCTGCACTTGCTTTGAGAAATCTGGTTTGACAGAAGAAAATACTGCGGGCCAGGCCTTTTATAGCATTTGCTGTGGATTTTTTAGGCAATTTTATGGTATTTTTTTATTTGATTTTGGAATTTTTTTTAATGTTATTGAATTATGTTTCGAATAGTAATTTTTCATAAATTTAAAAGTTTTATCTGTAGTTTTAACGTTTATCACTAGTCTTCTAATGATAAAACTAATTATTGTGACATTCAGTATTTTTAGAAAATGCCGAAAGCTTTGGCTCACTTAGGACTTTTTGAATCATCGGGCGCGGCCACTCTACGCACTTGTCACCACGAGGTACGAGTGATCCGAGTTTTTTCTGCCCTTTTCAAACTTATTTAATTATATTGTTGAAAATCGTGTTCCGCCCAACTCGAAAACAATGAGCGCCTTTCCCGGAACGTTCGCGTTCGACGAATATGGTCGGCCCTTCATCATTCTGCGTGACCAGGAGCGCCAGAAGCGCATCACAGGAACAGATGCCATTAAGGTAAATGAAAAAGAGGAGTGGACGCTTTGAAATGTCTGGATGCCCGTGTTTCTCACGTGACGCTACAACAAAAGAAGGATATATCCATTAGGACAGCCTTTGTTCGCTTTATTTCCGAAAAAGAACCCAAACAATGACGCATCGTCTGTGGAACGTTCCAGATGGTCACAGAAGCCGGTTTAAAATTTAGCAGCCACTCCAAGCTTTAATGAAAAGTATCAGATATCATGATCCTTAGTGTTATCAGGTCCTAGAAATATTATTTTCCTATGTACTAGCGTTGTTTCGCCCAAAAATTTACAAAATCTGACGTCACTGAGCAATTTTGAGGTTAAAACGCCGCACAGATGTTTTCCCTGCATTGCCGGCTGAGTCACGCGCCCCACCAAGTGTCTTACATACGCTTCCCAGACAAGCTTCCCAACTTTTGAAACCCATTTCTAACTTATTTTCTAAATATGTTTTATCCCTGCAGACTCACATTATGGCCGCTCGCCAAATCGCCTCCACCCTGAAGACTTCGTTGGGTCCCAAGGGTCTGGACAAGATTATGGTGAGCCCCGATGGTGATGTGACTGTCACCAACGACGGCGCCACCATCATGAAACTGATGGAGGTTGAACACGAGATCGCCAAGCTGATGGTGCAGCTGTCGCAGTCGCAGGACGACGAGATCGGCGATGGAACCACTGGTGTTGTGGTTCTGGCTGGAGCTCTTTTGGAGCAGGCAGAGGGACTTATCGATCGGGGTATCCACCCCATTCGTATCGCCGATGGTTTCGAGCTTGCCGCCCAGTGCGCCATCAAGCAGCTGGATGCCATCGCCCAGCCCTTCCCCGTGGACCCGAAGAACAAGGAGCCCCTGATCCAGATCGCCATGACCACCCTGGGCAGCAAGATTGTGAACAAGTGTCACCGTCAGATGGCTGAAATGGCCGTGGATGCTGTGCTCAATGTGGCTGACATTGAAAAGAAGGACGTGAACTTCGAGCTCATCAAGATTGAAACTAAGGTCGGTGGCCGCATGGAGGATTCCTTGCTGGTTAAGGGTGTTATCGTGGACAAGACCCTAAGCCACTCTCAAATGCCTAAAGAGCTGAAGGACGTCAAGCTGGCCATTCTCACCTGCCCGTTCGAGCCCCCGAAGCCCAAGACCAAGCATAAGTTGGACGTTACTTCCGCCGAGGACTACAGGGCGCTGCGTGAGTATGAGCAGGAGAAGTTCACCCAAATGGTGAAGCAAGTCAAGGACGCCGGCGCCACCTTGGCCATCTGCCAGTGGGGCTTCGACGATGAAGCCAATCACTTGCTGCTGCAGCAGGAACTGCCCGCCGTGCGCTGGGTTGGAGGTCCCGAGATTGAGCTCATCGCTATCGCCACTGGTGGTCGTATTGTGCCGCGTTTCGAGGAACTGACAGCCGAGAAGCTGGGAACAGCTGGTCTTGTCCGAGAAATGGGTAAGTTCGACTAATCAGGATAATTAAGGAGAATAATTAATATCCTTTTCCCCTTTTTTTAGCTTTTGGTACATCCAAGGACAAGATGCTGGTTATTGAGGAGTGCAAGAACTCGAAGGCTGTGACCATCTTCTTGCGAGGCGGCAACGCCATGATCATCGCCGAGGCTAAGCGCTCCATCCATGATGCTATTTGTGTCGTGCGTTCTTTGGTCAAGGATTCCCGTATCGTCTACGGTGGTGGTGCTGCCGAGATAAGCTGCTCCCTGGCTGTGGCTAAGGAAGCCGACCAGCTGTCTACGCTGGAGCAGTACGCCTTCCGCGCCTTCTCCGTAGCCCTGGAGAGCATTCCGCTTGCCCTGGCCGAGAACAGTGGTCTGCATCCCGTGGAGACACTTTCGGAACTGAAGGCTAGCCAGGTGTCTGAGAAGAAGCCTAGCTTGGGAGTAGACTGCATGCTGACGGGTGATTCGGACATGAAGAACCACAACGTGGTCGAGTCCCTGCACTCGAAGAAGCAGCAGATCCTGCTCTCCACTCAGCTCGTCAAGATGATACTCAAGATCGACGACGTGCGCTCCAAGAACGACGGCGGCATGTAGAGTGTTGTCATCGATCCACTAACACCTTACACATCAGTCAGCACCCGACAGATTCAGATTCGCATCCCCTTCTCGCTTTGCTAAACTCCTCACGATCAAGAACACCCGCGCAACGCCTCATCTCTATGTATATCTGTATTAATTGATTACGTTTATTAACGTTCACAAGTTCTTTGGAAAAGAAAAAAATTACATTAAACAAGGGATTCTCCCTGGTCAAATACACTAAAACCAAAACTAAGTTGGTTCTTTTCTTTGGGCCAATTGGTTTCCCTTCCAATCATAAAATAGATTATTTACAAAGGCACAAAAGTTCTAGACTTTCTTGCCATTGACGGTGGCCAGTTGCTTTCTGTTCATTTGGTCGAAGAAAAGTAATCCAGCCGCCCGTTCTACAGTTTCTGGGGGCACTTGGAACACACTTATTGGCGTATCATTGCTGATCACTTGATTGGGCATAACATAGGCTTCCATGTGGAGTTTTTGGTCAGTAGCTTCGCTCACAACTACTTTATAGAAATGGGTGGGAACTGCCACCGTGTTTGCTCCGATAACTTCGTATTTAACATATGTCTTGCCATCGTCTTCCTTTCGGGGCAGGTACAAAGGGCCCGTGCAGACATACACGTTCGGATAGATTTTAGTAAGTTTGCGCACATGCATCTCCAGGGTGTTCCACGCGTCCCGATTGAAGCCCTGCCCCACCTGGGGTGCCATATTGGATAGGTAAAAGGTCTCCTCGCAATGTTTTTGGTGCAACCGGTGGTTTCCAGCAGCGGCCATGTGACCGCGATCGTAACCGGACCGCCTGTAATCCGTATTCTGAGACCGAAAGTAGGGATGAATGCTCTCATCCTGCTTGAAGTCGCACTTGGCTCGATCTACAGCATCGTTTTTGGCTACAGAGTCCGGCGTCAGGTGCTCAAATACCCAATGTGGCACTCGATTCCGGCGGTCGTAGGAGAGCACGTAGTCGGAGTGGGACCGCACGTTATCCAATCCCGGGAATCCATACTTCATTATTTGTCCAATCCTTGAAGGTGTTGCCGCTAGACTGACATTGCTTTCTTGGGCAGGAATCAAACTGGCCGCCGAAACAGTCCCAAAAGTAGGTAACCCAGGAAGACGGGGGCTTCCGCCATCGGGCCCATCGATGCGCTTCTGTCGTTCAAAGTGGGAACCAAGGTAGAAGGCTCCAAGGGCGGTGGCTCCAATTGTTAATATTCTACTAACTCCTCTGCCGCTCATTTTTCTAGTTTAATTGATAAATTTGGTCAAAAAGACCACTAAAGACCGCTATTGCACAATTTCAGGTACGGTAGTGTGACCGAGTCTCGAAATCAAAAATTGGACAATAGTACGATAACGGTTTTCTAAAGCATATTTGAAAACTTTGAAATTCAAACTTTAAAAACAAAGAATCAGATTCACTATGTTTAAATTAGTAAACTAATATTCTTAATTTTCAAATACATGTTAGGATTTTTTTGTTTGTTTTATGTATTTGGTAATGTAAATATACAGTATCTCAAAAAAAATATATATCAATACATAACTTTAATTTTATCTTATTTTATCTTAAAGTTTGTACTATTAAGAAATATGGTTTATGTTTATATAATTATGTTGAGAGAGCTCCAATTTCATTTAAATCGCTTTTCCACTTTTCCTGACCTATCTCCCTCTTTTCGTTCGACTTTGCTCTATTCTCCTCTTAAAGCTTCACTCTCCGATTCCACTTTGTTTCAATGTGGTTTCAATCCGAGACGAGGTTATCAGCTATATTTAAGCTTGTTTACATTGGAACGGCAGCTGAGTCGGCGTATATTATTGAGACGTTTCCAAATCGTTGCCTTGTTCAGTTCAGAGTCACCCCTGGATCGAGAAAGGATGAGAGATCTGATCGCGGTAGTCCTGATCGCCCTGGCGGTAGGATTTTGGTTTGTGCGGACTCGCTATAGCTACTGGACTCGGCGGAGAATCGGAAATGTCCCAGGAACTTTTCCCACGGGGAATATGGAAGGTTTCCGGAAAACCAAGCACTTTATTGACATCATAACCCCGCTGTATGAGAAGTTCAAAGACTGTGGCGCTCCGTTTGCGGGGTTCTTCATAATGCTCCGCCCGGTGGTTTTGATTCTGGACCTGGAGGTGGCCAAACAGGTTCTAATACGCGACTTTGCAAACTTCGAGGATCGCGGCATGTATCATAATGAACGGGACGATCCCTTGACGGGTCATCTTTTTCGAATCGATGGACCAAAGTGGCGACCATTGAGGACTAAAATGTCACCCACATTCAGTTCTGGAAAGATGAAGTTCATGTTCCCCACGGTGTGCGAGGTGGGTGTGGAACTGGCTGGGGTGTGCGGAGACCTCGCCGAAAACTCGATATGTGGAATACTGGAAGTTGGTGGTCTGATGGCGCGCTATACCTCCGATGTCATAGGTCGCTGTGCCTTTGGAGTGGAGTGCAACGGCCTCCGAAATCCCGAGGCAGAGTTTGCTGTAATGGGCAGGCGAGCCTTTTCGGAGCGACGTCACACCAAACTGGTCGACTTATTCATCGAGAGTTTTCCGAATCTGGCGCGACGCCTCCGCTTCTGTCAGATCCATCAGGACATCACGGATTTCTATGTCGGCATTGTCCGGGAAACTGTGAGGCAGCGAGAGGAGCAGGGCATCGTTCGGAATGACTTTATGAACCTCTTGATCGAGATGAAGCAACGCGGCGAACTCACCCTGGAGGAGATAGCAGCACAGGCGTTTATATTTTTTGCCGCTGGCTTTGACACTTCGGCTTCTACCCTAGGATTTGCTCTGTACGAGTTGGCCAAGCAGCCGGAGCTACAGGAGAAGCTGCGGAGTGAAATCGAAGAGGCTCAGAAGATGCACCAAGGAGAATTCACATACGAAAGCATGCAGGAGATGCGCTATATGGAGCTTGTTATTGCAGGTGAGTAAGCTTTAAAAAAAAAAAATCAAATCAAACCCAGAATGAAGACTTTCCTTTTTTTAGAAACCCTTCGGAAGTACCCGGTACTACCCCAGCTTACTCGCGTCTCCAAGCAGTTCTATGCTGCCAAGGGTGATCGTAATTTTTACATAGAACCCGGCCAGATGCTGCTAATACCAGTTTACGGGATTCATCACGATCCCAGAATCTATCCCGAACCCCATAAATTTATACCAGAGCGTTTCTTGGCGGATCAGCTGGCCCTGCGTCCTACTGCCTCCTGGCTGCCCTTCGGCGATGGTCCTCGTAACTGCATTGGAATGAGGTTCGGAAAGATGCAGACCACCGTTGCCCTGGTTCATCTTCTCAGGCGCTTTCACTTCAGCGTCTGTCCGCGAACAGAGCCCAAAATCGAGTTTGTAAAGTCGAATATTCTTCTCTGTCCGGCGAATGGCATTTACTTAAAGGTTCAAGAGCTGAGTAAGCTAAAAAAATTGTGATTCTGTGCCTTGCAAAATACACTACTTATTTTATCAATTTTATAAACGTGTGTACGATTGAATGGTATTTCTGAATTACGCCTGTGAAGCATGACAAGAAAAAAATCGATTGGGACATCAGGCACTATCAACATTTCTACTAGCCTCGCTCTATATAATTTCACCAGAATACCAATCTGTTTATAATTTATTTTCCGGATCAATGAGCTTGTTTGGAAAATGTAGAATTTTGTTTTTGTATGCTTAGAAAAATTACGTAATTTTTAGATATATATAGATGTAAAGCTATATATATGTAGATGCCACTGGAGCTTTTGAAAAAATGCGTATAATTTTATTATTTTTGCAATCTTATTGAGGGCACAAAGTTTTGTTTGTTATTCTCAGTCTCTTTAGCATACAATCCAAACATTTCACCGGCTGATAAATAAAGATATAAGATACGGGTCTCATAAAACTGGTTCTAAGAGATCGTAAGAGAGCTTTTGGACACCGACCCAACGTAGAGCCGATTTTTAAACTCAGTTTGAAGCTGAACGTGGTCCGAAAATGACGATTTTTTTGTCGCTGGTTGTTATTGTGCTGTCCCTGATAATATTCGCCGCTCGACGACGTCATGGTTATTGGCGGCGCAGAGGGATCCCTCACGACCATCCAAATCCACTCTTCGGGAATATCAAGGATTGGCCTACCAAGCGGCATATAGCCACGATCTTTAGAGATTATTACGAAAAGTACAAGGGTTCAGGTTATCCCTATGCTGGATTCTTTTTCTTTTTCACGCGAACCGCTGTGGTCACCGATCTGGACTTGGTCAAGAGAGTTATGATTAAGGACTTTAATCATTTTGAGAATCGGGGTGTATTCTACAACGAGATCGATGACCCGCTCACTGGGAATCTATTCAGCATTGAAGGTCAAAAGTGGCGTCACCTGCGGCATAAGCTAACGCCCACCTTCACGTCTGGAAAAATGAAACACATGTTCCCCATTGTCGTTAAAGTGGGTGAGGAAATGGACGCAGTTTTCGCCGAGAAGGTGGCCGAAGGTCGGGGTCAAGTTCTGGAGGTGGTGGATCTGGTTGCCCGATACACAGCCGACGTAATCGGAAACTGTGCCTTTGGACTCAACTGCAATAGTTTGCATAATCCCCAGGCTGATTTCGTGACAATTGGAAAACGAGCGATCACTGAGCATCGCTACGGAGGTCTCTTGGACATTTTCATCTTTGGGTTTCCAAAGTTATCCCGCCGTTTACATCTCAAATTGAACGTTCAAGATGTGGAGGATTTCTACACTGGAATTGTGAGGGAGACCATAGACTACAGGCTGAAAACGAAGGAGAAACGAAACGACTTTATGGATGGACTGATTGAAATGTACCAGAAGGAGCAGGAGGGCAATTCGGAGGATGGATTAACCTTCAACGAGTTGCTGGCCCAGGCCTTCATATTCTTTGTAGCTGGGTTCGAGACGAGCTCGACCACCATGGGCTTTGCTCTCTACGAACTGGCCCTCAATCAGGATGTCCAAGACAAGTTGCGAAAGGAAATCAATGATGTCCTCGCTAAAAACAACAATGAGGTTACCTACGAGGGCATTAAGGAAATGAAATACCTGGAGCAGGTCGTAATGGGTATGTTCTAAGCGGTTTTATGTATGATTCGTATTAATATTAACTCGTTATATGCAAAGAAACGCTTCGCAAGTACCCTGTTCTGGCACATCTTACCAGAATGACTGAGACAGACTTTTCGCCAGAGGATCCCAAGTACTTTATTGCCAAGGGAACTATTGTAGTGATTCCCGCTCTAGGAATTCATTATGATCCGGATATCTATCCCGAGCCGGAGAAGTTCAGGCCAGAGAGATTCACGGAGGAAGCCATTGCAGCTCGGCCCTCTTGCACTTGGCTACCTTTTGGAGAAGGTCCTCGCAACTGCATTGGTCTACGATTTGGTTTGATGCAAACTTGTGTAGGACTAGCTTACCTCATCCGGAGCTACAGGTTCAGCGTTGCCCCAGAGACACAAATTCCAATGAAGGTTGTCATAAAGAGCATCTTGATTTCCGCTGAAAACGGAATACACCTGAAGGTAGAAAAGTTGATTAAATGAAGCTAGAAGCTGTTTAAGTATACTGACAAATGTTTTTCCTAAACCTTTCTTTACTACACACAATAAACCCATTTAAAATATCACCAACCCTTCCAAGTGTCTTTATTTTTAAATATCATTTTAAGGAAAATTTGTAGATTATTATAGTATTGTCGTAGGACCATTAAACAGCAAAAAAAAAAAAAATAAATAATAATCTAAGCCTTTTATCAATAAGGTCTGTCTAGTAAGAAAAACTTAAAGATTATACATTAAAAGATAAGGGTGGTACGGCTATATAAATCGTAGTTTCCCCTAACTGGAGTTCAGTTTAGAAAGCACACTCTGCTCTTCAAAATGTCGCTGTTTCTTTCGCTGATTTTTGTTTTGGTGTCGCTGGTCGTGTTTGCCGTCCGGCGGAGACTCGGATATTGGCAGCGGAGGGGTATACCTCACGATGCACCCCACCCAATTTTTGGACACCTTAAGGATTGGCCCAAGAAGCGACACTTTTCCGTGATTTTTAGGGACTACTATAACAAGTACAAAAGTTCTTCTCACCCCTTTGCTGGCTTCTTTTTCTTCTTAACTCCAACGGCTGTCGTCACTGATCTGGAACTGGTGAAAAGGGTATTGATCAAGGACTTTAATCACTTCGAGAATCGGGGAACCTTCCACAATGAAACCGATGATCCGCTTTCGGGCACGTTGTTTTCCATTGAAGGCCAAAAGTGGCGACACCTAAGACGCAAGCTGTCACCCACTTTCACGTCCGGAAAGATGAAGCACATGTTCCCCATTGTGGTCAAAATTGGAGAAGAATTGGAGAAAGTGTTTAACGAGAAAACAGTTTCAAGCCAAGTTGTGGAAGTGGTTGATTTGGTGGCACGATTTACTTCGGATGTCATCGGATCCTGCGCTTTTGGTCTGCAATGCAACAGTCTCCATAATCCCAAAGCAGAGTTTGTGACGATGGGTAGGCGGGCAATCACCGAGCGGAGATACGGGGGTTGGCTGGACTTCTTTTTCTTCGGATTCCCAAAACTGTCCCGCCAACTGCATTTAAAAATAAATATCCAAGAAGTGGAGGACTTTTACACTAGGATTGTTCGAGACACCATCGACTACAGGCTGAAATCGAAGGAGAAAAGGAACGACTTTATGGACAGTCTGATTGAATTGTACCAGAAGGAACAGGAGGGCAATTCGGAGGATGGATTAACCTTCAATGAGTTGGCTGCCCAGGCCTTCATATTCTTTTTGGCTGGTTTCGAGACGAGCTCTACCACAATGGGCTTTGCTCTCTACGAACTAGCTCTCAATCAGGATGTCCAGGACAGATTACGAAAGGAAATCAATGAAGGTCTCGCTAAAAACAATAATGTGTTTACCTACGAGGGTGTTAGAGAAATGAAGTACCTGGAACAGGTCATAATGGGTGAGTACACTATACTTAGATTTCAATAATGCACGCCTAATATTCAAAAACTGTTATGTCTTATAGAAACCCTACGGAAGTACCCCGTCGTGGCTCATCTGACAAGGGAGACTGAGACGGACTTTTCACCAGAGGATCCTAAATACTTTATTGCCAAGGGAACACAGGTTGTGATTCCTTCCTTGGGCATTCACTACGATCCGGATATTTACCCTGAGCCGGAAAAGTTCAAGCCAGAGCGATTCACGGAAGAGGCCATTGCCGCCCGACCATCCTGCACCTGGCTGCCCTTCGGCGAAGGTCCTCGCAACTGCATCGGCTTACGATTCGGTTTGATGCAGTCACAGGTGGGACTAGCTTACTTGATCAGGAGTTTTAAGTTTTCTGTTGCTCCCGTCACTCAAATACCTATGAAGTATGTGACACCTAATATTCTGCTTTCGGCAGAAAATGGCATTTATCTGAAGGTGGAGAAGATATCCCAGTAATATCATCAGATGCTACTAGTCTGAGGATTCCTAGCATATTTGAACAGCAGTTTCGTTTTTGTACAGTTGGGGTTTGTGGTTTAATCAATAAAATATATATTCTATCAACTGGTATACATAGTTGCAAAGAGTATCTACTACCCAGATAACAGGCCGGTATACTAATTTGTGTATAATTATTTTTTTTGGTAAAACATTTGATAAGTTTTATAAAAAATATTCAGATAATTTATGATTTCGCCAAGAGAGTAGATTATTGAATAATTGGACAGCAAACACACGTTTAATTGTTTTTAATCAGAAAACATATGCATTGTTATGATACCACTCAAGAGAACCCACACACTGAGGTTTAGCAGGGAATATAGTATAAAAAGCTCACTTTCAAGAGAGTCTAGGAGAGTGTTATGTATATAACACTCGTTGCTTACCTGATTTTTATTCAGTCTTGAGTAGAACGTGTTGCCGCTAAAATGTCGATATTTCTAACTCTGATCGCGGTTGTTTTTTCGCTGATTCTGTTTGCTGCTCGGCGGCGGCTTGGATATTGGCAGGGGAGGGGTATACCTCACGATGTGCCACACCCTCTCTATGGAAACATAAAGGACTGGCCCAAGAAGCGACACATTGCCCATATTTTTAGGGACTACTATCTAAAGTACAAAGGCTCCGGGTACCCCTTCGCCGGGTTTTATTTCTTCTTCACCCGAACTGCTGTAATTACCGATCTGGATCTGGTCAAGAGAGTTATGATTAAGGATTTCAACCACTTCGAGAATCGAGGAATTTTCCACAACGAAATCGATGATCCGCTCTCCGGCACGTTGTTCGCCATCGAAGGCCAGAAGTGGCGTCACCTGAGGCACAAACTCACGCCTACCTTTACGTCCGGAAAGATGAAGCACATGTTCCCAATTGTCGTGAAAGTGGGGGAGGAAATGGAGAAAGTCTTTAGGGAAAAAACAGTGACAGGACAAGGACAGGTCCTGGAAGTGGTCGACCTCGTGGCGCGCTTTACTGCCGACGTCATTGGCACCTGTGCCTTCGGCCTGAACTGCAATAGTTTGCATAATCCCAAGGCCGAGTTCGTGTCGATAGGTAGACGAGCGATCACCGAGCGGAGGTACGGAGGGTGGCTGGATTTCTTCATCTTTGGCTTCCCGAAGCTATCCCGCCGCCTTCACCTGAAACTTAATGTCCAAGAAGTGGAGGATTTCTACACAGGAATAGTGAGAGAAACCATCAACTACAGGTTGAAAACCAAGGAGAAGAGGAACGACTTTATGGACAGTTTGATCGAGATGTATCAGAAGGAGCAGGAGGGAAATTCGGAGGATGGATTGACCTTCAATGAGTTGGCTGCCCAGGCCTTTATATTCTTTGTGGCTGGGTTCGAGACGAGCTCGACTACCATGGGCTTTGCTCTCTACGAACTGGCTCAGAATCAGGATGTTCAGGACAAACTGCGACAGGAGATCAACCAAGTATTGGCCAAGCACAACAACGAGTTAACGTACGAGGGCATCAAGGAGATGAAGTATTTGGAACAGGTGGTAATGGGTGAGTTGAAGTATTTGGTTATTTTTGAAAAATTAACTAACAATAATATTTTCCATCAGAAACCCTTCGCAAGTACCCTGTCCTGGCACATCTTACCAGAAAGACTGAAACAGACTTTTCCCCTGAGGACCCCAAGTACTTCATCGCCGAGGGAACTGTGGTTGTTATACCTGCTCTGGGAATTCATTACGATCCAGAGATCTATCCAGAACCGGAGAAATTTAAGCCGGAGCGTTTCACGGAAGAGGCCATTGCCTCAAGGCCCTCGTGCACTTGGTTGCCCTTTGGCGATGGGCCCCGCAACTGCATTGGCCTCAGATTCGGGCTGATGCAAACCAGTATTGGACTGGCCTATTTGATCAGGGGCTACAAGTTCAGTGTCGCCCCAGAGACCCAAATTCCCATGAAAGTTATGGTGAAGAACATTCTGATTTCTGCTGAAAATGGAATACACTTAAAGGTGGAAAAGATTTCTAAATAAGAACGAGTTTATTTACGAAATACATAACTATCGAAGCTTGTTTTCTAATTTAAACAATGTTTAAAAAGCTTAAATAAAACATCGAGTAACAAGTATACACCTAATAATTTTTATATGATTGGGGGTTCTTGTATACCAAAATTGATTAGATTTCAGGGTGCTAGTTTAACTTTAAACCTGTTATACAATAAATGGTTAAAGTTAATGATGGTTTTCTATAAATCTATTAAGTCGTGGTTAAGAAAAGTAAAAAATAATAGTATTGTGCGCTTTGTGGTAGCTTTTAAAACTTTTGTAAACAATCCATGATTACATGTTTACATTCTACAATATGTCATTTAAGAGATATCAATCCATTTCTCTTAAATTGTTTGATGTTTACCCAATTTCAATCAGTATAAAGTCACTTTCATCATGGATTATGAATCATAAATCACATAATAGTTAATACAAAGAGTATTTCTGTGATAAGAGAGTCCAATGCTTGGGAAATCGGTCAGAATATAAACAATTTTTGGCGGAGTGCTTTTTCATTAAGTGGGAAGTCACTTTCATCATGGATCATGAATCATAAGTCACATAATAATACAAAGAGCATTCCGGTGATAAGAGAGTCCAAAGCTCTGGAAATCGGTCAGAATATAAACAATGTTTGGCGGAGTGCTTTTTCAGTTTGCGAACAATGTTGGTTCTTATCGGTTTGATTGTCGGTGTGCTCACCCTCGCCACATGGTGGGTCCACCAGAACTTTACGTATTGGAAGCGTCGCGGCATTCCCCACGATCCGCCCCAGCTGATCTTGGGAAACACCAAGGAGTTGATGAAAACCCTTCACTTGGCTGAACTTATCAAACAGACCTACGTGAAATACAAGAACAAGACCAATGGACCATTTGTGGGATTCTATGTTTATATCAAGAAGTTTGTGATAATCACCGATATCGATTTTGTGAAGACCGTCTTGATACGGGAGTTTGACAAATTCCACGATCGAGGTGTGTTCCACAACGAAAAAGATGATCCGTTGACCGCCAATTTGACGACCATCGAGGGTCAAAAGTGGAGAACTTTGCGACAGAAACTCACTCCTACCTTTACGTCTGGAAAAATGAAGAATATGTTCCCGCTGGTGCAGGATGTGGGCGATGAGCTGGTTCGGGTGTTTTCCGAAAAAATCGAGTCCACACCAACCACGCTGGAGATCACGGATTTGTTGGCTCGTTTCACGGCCGATGTGATTGGAGTTTGTGCTTTCGGCCTGGACTGCAACAGCCTTCGCGATCCCAAGGCGGAGTTCGTTCGAATGGGTAATTCGGCGATCACTGAGCGTCGACATGGCAAGCTGGTCCACATGCTCCTCTTCGGAGCTCCGAAGCTAAGCGCCAAGCTGGGCATTAAGAGTCTCCTCCAGCCCGTCGAGGACTTCTACATGAACATCATTAGGGACACCATCGACTATCGGGTGAAGAACAATGTGAAGCGAAACGACTTCATGGACATGCTGATCGAAATGAAGCTTAAATACGATAATGGAAACAAGGAAGAGGGAATCACCTTCAATGAGCTTGCTGCCCAGGCCTTTATATTCTTCCTGGCTGGCTTTGAGACGAGCTCTACGACGATGGGATTCGCTCTCTATGAACTGGCTTGCAACCCGGAAATCCAAGACAAAGCTAGGAAGGAAGTGGACTGTGTTCTGGCCAAACATAATGGCAAACTCGACTACGACAGTATGAAGGAGATGACCTTCCTGGAAAAAGTAATTGATGGTAAAGATTTTGTTATTTTCTGGATATTTTAAGGCCTTTTCTAACACGCTTTCTTTTCAGAAACCCTAAGGAAGCACCCAGTGGTTGCACACTTGGTTCGAACCACAACGAAAACCTATGTACCCAGCAATCCCAAATACACCATTGAAGAGGGAACTGGAGTCTTGATTTCAACCTTGGGTATCCACCATGATCCGGAATTTTATCCAGAGCCGGAAAAGTTCATTCCGGAACGCTTCGACGAGGAGCAGATCCAACAGCGTCCTGCTTGCACCTACCTGCCATTTGGAGACGGACCTCGGAACTGTATTGGCCTTCGATTTGGACGGATGCAGGTTATTGTTGGAATGGCGCTACTCCTCCATAACTTTAGGTTCGAGTTGCACCCCACAAAGACCACAATCCCATTAAAATTCAAACTAAATAGCATTCTTCTAAGTGCCGAGGGTGGAATTCACCTGAATGTCACCAAGCTAGTCACCTAAAAAGATTAGAAACGACTTAATTGATAATTGTTCCAACAATGAGTCACTGGGACATACAATGCTTCGTTAAATAAATCAATAAAGTTGCCAAAATCAAAGAATGTAATCGCAACCGACAAACATACGTAGTATTTATGATAATTCATGTCATTAGCTTCTGTACTTGAACTTTATCAGAAACTGGCTGTCAACAATAATGAGTTTGTCGGCGGTCACTGTTCCGTACTTTTTCAAATGTATTTTTAAATCTGTTATACAATATGTGCAGTCATAGTTTTTAATTACAATCAAGTCGAGACCTCGATTGTTTAAAAGTGATGTAATCCCACATGCCAGCTTTATTTATTTCTGAATAAAGCTTACATTAAACTCGTTCCACTTTTAAGTAAATACCAGATTCACTTGAAATGAGAAAAGTCTCCTTGCTGTACTTCATTGGAATGGTAGTCTCCTCGCAGATGGAGAATTTAAAGTCCTTGATCAGGAGGGCTAGGCCAATGCGGGCTTGCATTTGGCCGAAACGCATTCCAATGCAGTTCCTAGGACCATCCCCGAACGGAAGCCATTCCACGGAATCGCGTTCCTTAACCCTCTCCGGCAGAAAGTGGTCTGGGTTGAAGACATTAGGATTGGGATACAATTTCTCATCGCGATGCATGGCTCCACAGGGAATCAGGACCGGCATTCCTTTTTCGATGACGTACTTTGGATTATCCGGAACCACATAGTCCTCAAGACACTCACGGTTCAAGATTGGAAGTACGGTATAGAGGCGAAGGGTTTCTGTTGAAGGTAAAAGATTAGTGTCTATTCTCATTTTCTTTTGTAGAAATACTTACCAGACAAGACCTGGTCTAAATAGACCAAATCCTTCATATTCTCATATGAAAGCTCGCTGCTTTTGCCAAAGACCTCGTTGCATTCTTTCCGCACCCGGTCTTGGATGTCCTGGTGCTGGGCCAGCTCGTAAAGGGCAAATCCCATGGTGGTCGATGATGTCTCGAAGCCTGCCGCAAAGAACACAAATGCCTGAGCTGCCATTTGCTCGATTGTCAAGTTCACACTTTCTCCAGTCTCGGATTTGGTTAGGGGACTGTTTTTAAGATCTATTAGTTGATCCATGAAGTCGTTGCGTCGAATCTTGTTCTGCTCCCTGAAACTGACCGTCTCCCTGACGATTCGCAGGAAGAAGTGTTCCACTTCCTCTTTGGTTATCTTCATGTGCAGACGTCGGGCCAAGTTGGGAAAGCTATTGATGAATGCGATTCCCAGAGGCCCATGCCGCTGGTCCGTAACAGCTTTTCGGCCCATATTCCGGAACTCGGCATTCGGGTCCTTAAGACTGCTGCACTCGATCCCAAAGGCACATGTGCCAATCACGTCGGTGGTGAAGCGAGCCAGCAGATCCTTTACCTCCACAATATTGTTCTTGTCCAGGGTCTGTCCGAAAACCTCTGTGAACTCGTGACCCACCTTCACCACAGTGGGAAACATGTACTTCATTTTTCCGGAGGTAAACGTGGAAGATAGTTTGTTTCTCATGGACTTCCACTTCTGGCCGTCCAGCATGAAAAGGTGCCCGGACAATGGATCGTCCTCTGTGTTGTGATAAAAGCCACGATCCGTAAACTTGTTAAACTCTCTAATCAAGATCAGTTTGGCCAGCGAAGGTTCTAGGACGAAGACAGCTGGTTTTTGGAACCAATAGAAGCCGGCAAAGGGTCCAGATCCCCGAAACTTCTTATAGTAATCTGTCCAAATGTCGCAAAACGATCGCTTGGATTGGACGCCACCCAGGCTCCCCAACAGGATGTGGGGCTCTTCGCATGGGATTCCCGCATTTTTCCAGTAATTCAAGGTGCGCCGCCATCTGACCAAAAGGTAAGTGATGAGCAAAACTACAGCTGATATGAGGAAAGCCTGGACTCCCATGACGTCAGAGTAGCGATAAAAAAAGCCGGCGGCTAGCAGCAGAAGCATATGGTATCTCGTCTGCCTTCGAAAACTCACTGAGCGCCCAGAGCTTTTTCACCCAATAGATAAAGCTGAAAAGTGAGAAAGCCAACGTACTCTTCCAATATAATATATATATATATTGTATCTTTATTGCGCGTTTGAAATTAATAATTATTGTGGCGAGAAATGAAGGCTTTTTCTCTATTCTGGTTGATTTTTGTCAAGTTCCATTTGGATTAACCTTATCTACCTCAACATAATTTCGTAGAGCATAGGTCACGATTGGTTGGTTTAAGTAACAAGGGGTTATTGGACACGTTTAACTTGTAGAAAAATACCGGATTCACTTGCCACAAGATAGTGTTTCTTGTTGTACTCCATGGGTATTGTTGTCTTATCGCACACCGAGAACTTGAAGTCCTTGATTAGCAGAGCCAATCCAATTCGCGTTTGCATTTGTCCAAATCGCATTCCGATGCAGTTCCTAGGACCATCTCCGAATGGCAGCCACTCCACGGAGTCTCTCTCCTTGACCCTATCCGCCGAAAAGTTGTCCGGATTGAAGACTTCTGGATTGGGATAGAATCTCTCATCGCGGTGTATGGCACTGCAAGGTATCAGAACAGGCATCCCCTTTTTGATCACATATTTGGGATTGTCGGGTACTGTAAAATCTTCAACGCACTCACGATTCAGGACAGGAAGGACTGTATAAAGGCGAAGGGTTTCTGAAAATTAAATTACCCTGAGGTCAAAAGATTTCTAAGTATATGGATTATAATGATGTCATTTACCAGCTATTATTTGATCAAGGTAGACTAGTTCTGTCATGCTTTCATACGACAAAGTGTCATTGTGTCTTCTAAGCACCTCCCGGCACTCTTCCCGAGCTCGATCCTGAATATCCTGATGCTGGGCCAACTCATACAAAGCGAATCCCATAGTGGTCGAAGAGGTTTCAAATCCAGCCGCAAAAAATACAAAAGCCTGGGCTGCCATCTCCTCGATGGTCAGGCTGACAGTCTCTCCAGTTTCGGATTTGAGTGATTGGTTGTTTTTAAGATCTATTAGCTGGTCCATGAAGTCGTTCCGACGTATATGGTTTTCTTCCCTAAAGGCCACTGTTTCCCTGACTATTCGCAGGAAGAAATCCTCGATGGGCTGGGCCGTCAGCTTCAAGTGCAATCGTCGCGATAGATTCGGAAAACTGCTAAGAAATGCCACGCCCAGGGGACCATGGCGTTGTTCTGTCATGGATCTTCCTCCCATTACACGGAACTCTGCATTGGGATCCTTCAAGCTGCTGCACTCGATGCCAAAGGCACATGTGCCAATAACATCCGTGGTGAATCGGCAGAGCAAGTCCTTAACTTCAACAATCTCTTCCTTATCCACCGACTGGCCAAAGACATCAATGAACTCGTGACCCACCTTCACTATTGTGGGGAACATGTACTTCATTTTTCCGGAAGTAAATGTGGATGACAGTTTGTGTCTCATAGTTCTCCATTTTGGACCATCCAGCGTAAAAAGATGTCCCGACAACGGATCGTCTTCCTCGTTGTGATAGAATCCTCGGTCCGTAAACTTGTTGAACTCCTTGATCAGGATGAGCTTGGCCAGGGATGTGTCCAGTACAAAGACAGCAGGTCTGTAAAACCAAAAGAAACCGGCAAAAGGTCCAGTACCCCTATACTTTGCGTAGTACTCTGACCAAATGTCGTTAAAAGACCGCCTGGTTGCCACGCCCGTCAAATTACCAAACAAAAAGTGCGGTTTATCGCAGGGGATCTCTAAGTTCTTCCAGTACTGTAGATTGCGACGCCATTTGTGTATAAGGTATGCGACTAGAACCGCAATAGCAGTGACTAGGAAAAGCTGTAAGCCCATTACATCAACCTCGATAGCTATGTAGGGGCAATTATAATTATTAATATTAAACAACTTAAACAAAACGACGCGCCTTTTCAAGTTCACAAAATGCACTGAATATGAAAAGCTCAATGGGCTTGCGAAATAATCTTTAAATACATACATCGAGTGAGAGAAGGAAAAAGAAAGAAAAGAACTCTTGTCAACAATTGTGATTGTAGAAAGACTCAATCTTATTTTATTGCTAGATTTGGACTCTCTTAGTTTTTTTATAAGAGAATATTGTTTTTTTTTATTAATAAATTGGTTCGCTTAATTTATTTTGACAGCCAAGACCTACCTCAATATAATTGGCTAAAACTTTTAAAATTTTAAAGTCCAAATTGTAAAACGAAAATTCCCCTTCGTGTACTATTAAATCAGCTTTATTATTAATCGAGAACTATCATTAGAATGAACTTGAACTTAAACAAATAATATAGACCTTCTAGCCATGTGGGTTGTAAACCGATCTCGCCAGATTAGATTCCAAATCAGCTGTATTTTGTTTCTTTTTTTAAGAGAAAATTCACAATATTTACTCGTGACTCTTTTAGATACAATTACTCTTTTGTATCTTACAGATAAAAAGTACAGAGAAAAGTTATGTGCCATATAAATCGTCATTAACTTGAATAAAAAGCTTTCTTCGGGCAAGAAACTTGTTGAATGCCACAAAAAAACTATAGTAAGCATGACAAGTACTTTTTCATTCATAAATTACGTCACATAGTTAAGCTGAAGAAAACAAATAAAATAATAAGAACTTTTTGGTAAATAAATTTGTTTTATATTATTTCTATACCAGTTTTAAAGAATGTTATGGCAATTGCAATATAGCGCTAAAATGTGAAATTCGCTACAATTAGTCGAAAATTTCAAAAACCGGTTAAAAATGCAAGCAACAATGACTGGCATTTTTGAAAATGCCCGATTTTATTAAAGATTTATTATTTAGGGCTTAACAATTTATAAAATATATACATTAGACATTAAGAATTTTATAGTTTACTTTTATGTTTGGGGGAACAGATTGTTTAAAAAAAATGCAAGTTAAGAATGACTGGTAAGTATGGTTCCTATCAATTCTTTCAACTATTTATCTTTAGTCATCGTTATTCGACAGATTAGATATTAAGAATATATAGAGCAGTAGTTAAAAAAATAAATTAAATTTAAATTCTTTTTTTTCTTTTATTCGTTATTTAAAATAGTTACACTTTAGAATACAGAATTGTGAAATTCAAATAAAAGTGGAGGTTTGAAATTCAGGAATTATTTTTTTACTTTTTAACCATGGATAAAACCAAGGATAACTTAAGGACTTTCTGTAAAAACTAAAAAAATCATGTAAATAATATACTGTTTACAAAAAAAATTATGAAATTTGAAAACGAATGATATATTTTATTACTAATATAATATAAATTAAATAATAAATAAATACCTGGAGTTAGTAATTTTGATCTTTAAATAGAGGTTTTGAAACCCCCAACAAAGATGCCAGGTAAGAGTGACTGGGAGTTTCTGTATCGAGGGTCTCTTTTTTTGGGCTCGTATCAAGAGAACCAGGTACCAGCTAAGAGAGTATCTAATCGCTCGAGTCGGTTCCTATAAAAGCCAAGCCAGCTGAAATAGTCAGTTAATAGTCTCGAGATGGCCGTTTTGATCGCACTCTTTGTGGCAGTGATCACACTCGTCGTGTGGTACGTGCACCAACATTTCAACTACTGGAAGAGGCGTGGTATTCCACACGATACCCCAAGTATTCCCTTTGGAAACACCAAAGAATTTATGAAAACAAAGCATATATCGCTACTCGCCGGGGAAGCGTACAAAAAGTACAAAAACAAGACCGATGGTCCGTTTGTTGGTTTTTACATGTATTTTAAAAAGTTTGTTATTCCAACGGATATTGATTTTGTAAAGACTGTGTTGATCCGCGAATTTGACAAGTTTCACGATCGCGGTATCTTCCACAACGAACGCGATGATCCTCTGAGCGGTAATCTAGTGAACATCGAAGGTCAAAAATGGAAGACTCTCCGCCAAAAGTTAACCCCCACATTTACGTCGGGTAAAATGAAGAACATGTTTCCCACTGTGCTGGTTGTGGGCGATGAACTGATTAAGGTTTTCGATGAAAAGATTTCCGCCAGTCCGGATGGATTGGAAATCACTGACCTCCTGGCTCGCTTCACCGCCGATGTCATCGGGAGCTGTGCCTTTGGCTTGGATTGCCATAGTCTGAAGGATCCCAAGGCTGAGTTTGTCAAAATGGGAGTATCTGCCATCACCGAACGCAGATATGGAAGAGCGTTGGACCTCTTCTTGTTCGGAGCTCCAAAACTGGCTGAAAAGCTGCGCATGAAGGCCAATGTCCAAAAGGTCGAGGATTTCTATATGAATATCATCAAGGACACAGTGGATTATCGAGTCAAGAACAATGTGAAGCGTAACGACTTCATGGACATGTTGATCGAGATGAAACTGAAGTACGATAATGGCAACAAACAGGATGGTCTCACATTCAATGAGATTGCCGCCCAGGCCTTCATATTCTTCCTGGCTGGTTTCGAGACGAGCTCCACGACCATGGGATTCGCCCTCTACGAGCTGGCCCTCAATCAGGATGTACAGGATAAGCTGAGACTGGAAATAAACAGTGTTTTAGAGAAACATAATGGAAAACTGAGTTACGATGTCATGCGGGAGCTGGTATATATGGAAAAGGTCATCGATGGTAAGCTTCCTAAATATTTTAAATAATCCTTAAATGCAACGGTATAATTTATCTTTTAGAAACCATGAGGAAACGCCCCGTGGTTGGTCATTTGATTCGTATTTCAACTCAACGCTACGAGGATAGCAATCCAAAATATTACATTGAACCAGGTACTGGTGTCCTGGTGCCCTCATACGCTATCCACCACGATCCAGAGTTCTATCCGGAGCCGGAGAAGTTTATTCCGGAACGTTTCGACGAGGAGCAGATCAAGCAACGTCCGGCGTGTACCTTCCTACCTTTCGGAGATGGACCTCGCAACTGTATTGGCCTTCGGTTTGGCCGGATGCAGGTGATTGTTGGAATGGCTTTACTCATCCGGAACTTCAAGTTTGAAGTGCACCCCACCAAGACCCAAATTCCTCTCAAACACAGAGCTGACGATATTTTGTTCAGTGCCGAAAATGGCATTCATTTGAAAGTCAGCAAAGTTTGAGGTTTCGGAAAATGATGGAAACAGAATTGAAACTAATTAAGATAGAATGAAATTTTCAATGAGATGTAGAAAGATAATTATCGGGTTGCATTCATTATATGGAAATGCATTATGACTAATACACCAAGTTTAGATACAAAAAGCTTTACGTTTCAAGGCAGTGACCTCTATATGTGTATGCGAGAACATTTTTCCAAGCATGGGAATTAAAGGAAAAGCTTTTTGTTATTTAATACTAAAAAACCTACTATAGACATGTAATTAAAATAAACGTTTTTGAATAAATTATTATTTTAATTGTTATTATTATTTCATATATGAACATACGGGATTTTGCAAGGGGTCCCATCAGAAAAATTTGAAAAATCTGGATCAAAATTTTTGATTGAAGGTTTTGATGCAGATTGAAGGACAATCGAACTACAAATCATTTAACGTGTTCCTTTCTATGATCGGATGGAAATTGGCCAAGATATGGACTTGGTTAGGGGCTAAAATAAAAATCACGGATTTTGCAAGGGGTCCCATCAGAAAAATTTGAAAAATCTGGATCAAAGTTTTTGATGCAGATTGAAGGACAATCGAACTACAAATCGTTTAAGGTGTTCGTTTCTATGATCGGATGGAAATCGGCCAAGATATGGACTTGGTTTGGGGCTAAAATGGAAATCACGGATTTAGCAAGGGGTCCCATCAGAAAAATTTGAAAAATCTGGATCAAAGTTTTTGATTGAAGGTTTTGATGCAGATTGAAGGACAATCGAACTACAAATCGTTTAAGGTGTTCGTTCCTATGATGGAAATTCGTTCGGATGGAAATTGGCCAAGATATGGACTTGGTTTGGGGCTAAAATGGAAATCACGGATTTTGCAAGGGGTCCCATCAAAAAAATTTGAAAAATCTGGATCAAAATTTTTGATTTAAGTTGTTGATGCAGATTGAAGGACAATCAAACTACAAATCGTTTAAGGTGTTCGTTAATATGATCGGATGGAAATTGGCCAAGATATTGACTTGGTTTGGGGCTAAAATGGAAATCACGGATTTTGCAAGGGGTCCCATCAGAAAAATTTGAAAAATCGGGATCAAATTTTTTGATTGAAGGTTTTGATGCAGATTGAAGGAAAATCAAATTAAAAATCGTTTAAGGCATTCCTTCCTATGATCGGATGGAAATTGGCCAAGATATGGACTTAACTTGGAGCTAAAATGGAAATCACGGATTTTGCAAGGGGTCCCATCAGAAAAATTTGAAAAATCTGGATCAAAATTTTTGATTGAAGGTTTTGATGCAGATTGAAGGACAATCGAACTACAAATCGTTTAAGGTGTTCGTTCCTATGATCGGATGGAAATTGGCCAAGATATGGACTTAACTTGGAGCTAAAATGGAAATCACGGATTTTGCAAGGGGTCCCATCAGAAAAATTTGAAAAATCTGGATCAAAATTTTTGATTGAAGGTTTTGATGCAGATTGAAGGACAATCGAACTACAAATCGTTTAAGGTGTTCGTTCCTATGATCGGATGGAAATCGGCCAAGATATGGACTTGGTTTGGGGCTAAAATGGAAATCACGGATTTAGCAAGGGGTCCCATCAGAAAAATTTGAAAAATCTGGATCAAAGTTTTTGATTGAAGGTTTTGATGCAGATTGAAGGACAATCGAACTACAAATCGTTTAAGGTGTTCCTTCCTATGATCGGATGGAAATTGGCCAAGATATGGACTTGGTTTGGGGCTAAAATGGAAATCATGGATTTTGCAAAGGGTCCCATCAAAAAAATTTGAAAAATCTGGATCAAATTTTTTGATTTAAGGTTTTGATGCAGATTGAAGGACAATCGAACTACAAATCGTTTAAGGTGTTCGTTCCTATGATCGGATGGAAATTGGCCAAGATATGGACTTGGTTTGGGGCTAAAATGGAAATCACGGATTTTGCAAGTGGTTTCATCAGAAAAATTTGAAAAATCTGGATCAAATTTTTTGATTGAAGGTTTTGATGTAGATTGAAGGACAATCGAACTACAAATCGTTTAAGGTGTTCGTTCCTATGATGGAAATTCGTTCGGATGGAAATTGGCCAAGATATGGACTTGGTTTGGGGCTAAAATGGAAATCACGGATTTTGCAAGGGGTCCCATCAAAAAAATTTGAAAAATCTGGATCAAAATTTTTGATTTAAGTTGTTGATGCAGATTGAAGGACAATCAAACTAAAAATCGTTTAAGGTATTCCTTTTAAGATATGGGCTTGGTTTGGGGCTAAAACGGAAATTCTGATGAATCGAACAACAAAACATTTAAGGTATTTCGCTAATGGATGCGATGCAAATTGACAAAACTTGTAAGAAACGAATTTTTAAATTCTATATTTACATGTAAAGTTGAATCTTAGTCAATTTACAAAATTGTGTGTAGCCTACTCTTAGGCCTCTTTATTTTCTTAAAATAAATAAATAATAACAATATCGTCAGTACTAAAATAATATTTTCTGAGGTAGTTACGAGTTAAGTGGCAAAAATGCAAATCATTATTTAAAGTCAAGTTAACAAAAATAAGTAAATCTGATGAAATTTCAACAGGTGTTTCAATTTTTTTCTGGGAAATCGAATCTGATAATAGTCCCATCTATCTTGACGTACTTCTAAGTTTAATGAAAATACATATGGGTTGATCTCTTGGTTGAAAATTTTTCAATCGGTTTTATATACTTTTATTAAATAATATTTTTATAAGAATTACACACGTTCCACCTTAAGATAAATTCCAGATTCACTGCCTATGAGGAATAATTTTTTATCGAACTTCATGGGAATAGTTGTCTGACTGCAAACGGAGAACTTAAAGTTCTTGATGAGGAGCGCCAGGCCAATGCGGCTTTGCATTTGGCCAAAACGCATTCCAATGCAATTGCGGGGGCCATCTCCGAATGGAAGCCATTCAACAGAGTCGCGATTCCTGACTCGTTCTGGAGAGAAGTTGTCCGGATCAAATGTGTCAGGGTTGGGGTAAAATCGCTCGTCTCTATGCATTGCTCCGGCGGGGATTATAATAGGCATTCCTTTCTTGATCACATACTTGGGATTCTCGGGGACTACATAGTCCTCAAGGCATTCGCGGTTCAGGACTGGAAGGACTGTGTATAAGCGAAGAGTTTCTGCAAAAAAAATCTAGTTAGTCAGGCTTTCACGAATATTTGTTTTGTTTTGTTACCAGATATAACCTGGTCGAGATAGACCAGTTCCTTAATGCTCTCGTATGTTAACTCTCCATTAAACTTTTGGCCAACCTCCTGTAACTCCTTTCTTACACGATCCTGAATATCTTGATGCTGGGCTAACTCGTACAAGGCGAATCCCATTGTGGTCGAGGAAGTCTCAAAACCAGCAGTAAAGAATACAAATGCCTGAGCTGCCACCTCTTCAATGGTCAGATTGACATTCTCTCCGTTTTCGGATTTCATTAGTGGGTTGTTTTTTAAATCGATCAACTGATCCATAAAGTCATTTCGCCGGATGTTGTTTTGCTCTCGGAAGCTCACCGTTTCCCGGACGATGCGCATGAAGAACTTTTCAATGGGCTCCGCGGTAGTCTTCATGCCAAGGCGTCGAGCAAGATTAGGGAAACTGTTAACGAATCCCATAGCCATGGAACTTAGACGTTGTTCCGTCAAGGATCGACGACCCATGACCCGGAACTCGGCCTCGGGATCTTTCAGGCTGCTGCACTCGATGCCAAAGGCACAGGTGCCAATCACATCTGTAGTGAATCTGGCCAACAACTCCTTGACCTCAACGATGGAGGATTGGTCCACCATTTCGGAGAAAACATCGGTAAACTCATAACCCACCTTGATGACGGTAGGAAACATGTACTTCATTTTTCCGGAGGTAAAGGTGGGTGATAGCTTGGTGCGCATTGATTTCCACTTCTGGCCATCCAGCAGAAACAACTGACCCGATAATGGATCATCCTTGGTGTTGTGGTAGAAGCCCCGGTCCGTGAACTTGTTGAAATCCTTGATGAGAATGTTCTTGGCGAGGGATGGCTCCAAAACAAAGGCCGCAGGTCGACGGAACCAGTAGAATCCGGCAAAGGGCCCGGTGCCGCGAAACTTTTTGTAGTAACCCATCCAGACGTCATTAAACGATCTCTTGGTCAGCAATCCCTTTAAGCTTCCCATTAGTAGGTCCGGTTCCTCGCAAGGAATACCTTCATTCTGCCAATACTTCATGGTTTGGCGTATCTTCACCAAAAGATAGACAAGAAGCGCCAGAAACGCAATGAACAAAACCGTACCAACAGCCATGGTTAGCTTTATACTTTGTTTTCACGTCGAATATTTATTTATTATTGAAACACTCGGCAAACCTGTTCGCTGTTCGTAGCCAACTGACTGCCGCAAAGCTTTTTGGCCGCGTTTTAATAGTAAAACTTGGCAAAACATGGTAGTCATTGTGACCGGCAAACAATGTTCCAGGTTCCATAATCTTGGGGGACTCACAAGCTGATAAGTTGCCTATGAATTCCATAACCGATTAAAAAATACCTCTTAACGATTATAAGTATGGCAAATTTATTCAAACGTATATAGTCTAATGGAATCACAAAGTTCGAGCATTCTCAGAGCGTACCTCTTGTAGGGACCTCTAGTTGGTAATATATTACAGCCGGAATGCAAAGTCGGGGTCCAGAGCCTATCCCAACTAAGTTCTAGTTTAATCTAGGCGAAATATGTAAACAAAAGGCCGCTTTTTAGCTATCGGTAATATTTGGCACAAAGTTGATGGCTTTTAATGAGATTATTGGGGGACTTTCTCCAGTTTAAGGTGAATGCCGTCCTTTACGCTGAGCACAAATGATTTGGGATCGTAGACTAGAGGATCGGGAGTTTGGGGGCAGGTGGAGAACTTAAAGTTCTTGATGAGTAGAGCAAGTCCAATGCGCGCCTGCATCTGGCCAAATCTCAGGCCAATGCAGTTCCGCGGACCATCTCCAAAGGGAAGCCAAGCTACTGAGGACCTGTTGGCCGATTCCTCGGGAGAGAATCTCTCAGGGCGGAACTCATAAGGCTCGGGGTAGATTTCCGGGTCGAGGTGGATAGCAGATGAGGGAATGATGACCGATTGGCCGGCTTCGATGACAAAGTTAGGGTGTCCTGGAACCACGTAGCGATTTTTTGCCATGCGATCCAGTTGGGGAACAATGGTGTACCGACGTAGAGTTTCTATAAAAGTTTAAATAGGTAAGTAAAAAACGCACTTTTGGGATTAACTTCATTCAGAACCTACCATTTATAACCTGGTGGAGGTAGTGGAGGTCCTTGATGCACTCGTAGGTGAGCTCGTGATTGTGCTGCACTAGCCCATCGTTGATTTCAGCTCTTAGCTTGTCTTGGACCTCGGGGTTCTTGGCCAACTCATACAAAGCATAGCCCATCGTGGACGAGGAGGTCTCGAACCCAGCAATGAAGAACACGAAGGCTTGGGCCAGCACTTCGTCCATGGTCAGGCCCTTGACCACCTCGCCGTTGTCCAGGGTCACTTCTTTTTTGTTCTTCATGTCGATCAGCATGTCCATGAAGTCATTCCGGTTTATCTTTTCCTTTTCGCGATAAGTCACTGTCTCCGTTACAATGCGACGGTAAAAGTCCTGAATTGGTTGGGCAGTTCTCACAAAGCCCAGTTTCTTGGCCAACTTTGGATAGGTTCGCATGAATCCCAATACCAAGGGACCATGGCGCTTTTCCACTAGGGCTCGCTTTCCAAAATGCAGGAACTCGGCCTCCTCATCCCGCAAGCTGTTGCACTGGATGCCAAAAGCACAGGTGCCGATCACATCCACCGTGAACCGGGCCACCAGATCACGGATGTCCAGGACCGATTTCTGCTGCACTTTTTCATTCATCACAGCGATGAATTCGTTGGCCACTGAAACCACTGTGGGATACATGTACTTCATTTTCCCAGAAGTGAAGGTCGATGATAGTTTGCTGCGAAGTAACCGCCACTGGGGTCCATCCAGGTTGAAGAGATGTGCCGAAATGGGGTCATCCTTCTCATTGTAGAACAGCCCCTTGTCGGAGAAGTTGGAAAAGTCCTTTATCAGGATGTGCTTGGCCAGCTCCTGGTCCTTGACGAAAGCAGCGGGTTTTTGGAATATATAGAAACCCACAAAAGGGGCTTTGACCTCCCGGAACTTGTTGTAGTGATCGCGTAAGATTTCGTGAAAGCCTCTTGTCTTCAACAGTCCCTGAAGGTTTCCTCTCACAGGATGGGGAGGATCGTACGGGATACCGCGGCGTTTGAAGTAAGTCAACCGTCGATGGACGATATAGGTGACGATGGCCAACAGCGCGATCGCCACTTGGAAGAGAATGTATGTTAGATCCATGTTGTGTTTGAAGCTCTTCGCAAACGACTGACTCGCTGGCAAACAGTCTCAGCCTTTAAAAGTAGAACCAAACCTGCTACTTTGCATGACGGAGCAGAAATTGTGAGGGGAATGAAAAGCGAGAGTTAATCACAACGCTGTGTTTACTTTTTGCTACAAACTATGAGCAAGCAAGACTCTTACAGTCATACCTGGCTATGGAGAATAGTAGTAAAACTTTTATAAAATAAACCTTCTCACACCTTTACATGCCATCTCAAATTTAATCTCCAGCTATTTCTATTTTATTTCTTATAAGATTTGTTGTCTAAAAATATTTTTATCTAAAGTACCTAATATACAAGTACTAATCTATGTTTTTTAGATTAGGGAGTTTCTACTGTTCTGAGTCTGGATGAGCGAGATACCTTATAATCTCGTGGCATTTTCCATATCAATTTCCTTACCCCAACTCATCGTTATAATGCTGGAAAGTTTTATTTAAGTCTGGCAGGGAACAAAACATTTGTTTAGGCTTGTGAGTCACTTTGTCGGATCTAATTTAATTTTACTCGCAAGGCGCTACCTACCCCAACAAAGCGAAAAAAACATTATCTTTGGTACAATTTCGGGGTTACTATCAAAGCCACATTAATCAGAGAATAGTGAGTCACACCTTTTGGATTTTAAGATGAATTCCTTCGGGAACACTGAGGGCAGTGGACCGCGGGTCGTAGACCAGAGGATCTGGGGTTTGGGGGCAGGTGGAGAACTTGAAGTTTTTGATCAGATAGGTCAGTCCAATGCGTGCCTGCATCTGTCCGAATCTTAGGCCGATGCAGTTCCGGGGACCATCGCCAAATGGCAACCAAGCAACGGCGGGACGGTTGGCCGACTCTTCCGGAGTAAACCTCTCAGGTCGGAATGCATAGGGATCCGGATAGATATCCGGGTCGTGATGAATAGCAGATGAGGGAATGATAATCGACTGACCAGCCTCGATAACAAACTTTGGGTGACCTGGAACCACATAGGGCTTGTTGGCCATACGATCCAACATGGGCACAATGGTGTATAAGCGAAGGGTTTCTGAAATGTTAATCATTAAAGTTTGGAACTACTATGAGGATGGTTATCTGTCTTACCATTTATTACCAGGTTCAGGTATTTAAGATCCCTGGTGCTCTCATAAGTAAGTTCATTATTGTATTTCTCCAGAACTTCTTCGATTTCCGCCCTCACCTTGTCTTGGATGTGGGGGTGTCTGGCCAACTCGTACAAAGCATAGCCCATGGTTGATGAAGAGGTCTCGAACCCAGCAATGAAGAACACGAAGGCTTGGGCCAGCACCTCGTCCATGGTCAGGCCTTTAACCACCTCCCCGTTGTCCAAGGTAACCTCATTCCTGTTCTTCATGTCGATCAGCATGTCCATGAAGTCATTCCGACGAATCCCTTCCTTTTCGCGATATGTCACTGTCTCCGTCACAATCCGACGGTAGAACTCTTGAATATGCGTAGCCGTTTTTATGAGACCCATTTTTCGGGCCAACTTGGGATAGCTCATCATTAGTCCCGTCAGCAGGGAACCATGTCGTCTGTCCACCAAAGCTCGCTTTCCAAACTGCAGGAACTCTGCCTTCTCATCCCGGAGGCTGTTGCACTGAAGTCCAAAGGCACAGGTGCCGATCACATCAACTGTGAACCGAGATACGAGGTCACGGATCTCCAGGACAGGCTTCTGCTGAACCTTTTCGTGCATCACCGTCATAAACTCATCAGCCACGGACACAACTGTGGGGAACATGAACTTCATCTTTCCGGAAGTGAACGTCGAAGACAACTTGTTGCGAAGTGTCCGCCACTGGGGACCATCCAGATTGAAGAGATGTGCTGAAATGGGGTCGTCCTTCTCATTGTAGAACAGTCCCTTGTCGGAGAAGTTGGAGAAGTCCTTGATCAGGATGTGCTTGGCTAGTTCCAGGTCCAAAATAAAAGCGGCTGGCTTTTGGAAGAAGTAGAAACCGACAAAGGGCACTTTAGAGTTCCGGTACTTGTCATAGAAGTCCTGGACGATCTGGTGTATGGTTCTGGTGCGGCCTAGACCATCCATATTTCCCTTCAGAAGATGCGGAGTATCATGGGGAATGCCACGACTTTTGAAGAATGTAACTCTGCGATGGATGAAGTAGGTGGCAATCGCTAGAAGAGCGACTACGACTTGGAAGAGTATGAAAGTCAATTCCATGGCTGCCTCCTAACAATGATTCTTTCATGTGAGAGGCTGGCTCCCTCCTTAAATACTTCTACAATCTATTGAGAAAGATGCAAACATTAAATGACAAGGCTGTTTCCTTTCCTGCTGCTCGCAGAGTGATATGAGGTTACTGCAACTTTCATGCCACAATAATAGTCATGATGATCGCAGCAAAAGCTTTTATAAAAATCTTTATCTGGTAGCCACTGTACGAGGCCAAGCCCCTCAGCTAATCAAACCCTTTGAGATCGTTCATCCTTATCTTCATTTCAGCAGCTATAATCCATCTATAAATGTATATTTTTAAGACGCTGCATTATGCATGAATATTCAATAGATCTGTCAACCATATTGAGGACGCTTTTCTCCTAAATAGGTTTGACGACTGATTAGATTTCAAGTTCGGATATCGCCATTACCAACAATTATTTAGCTTTTAGATTCTAGTTTTTATTGTTTAGCTTTGTGGGTGAGCTTTTCATTGTTAGCTGATTTTTTGTGCCATTTAAACGCTAATTGGGCGTACAATTTATCAGGTAACTGGGAAAATCATTCACAGAAACTCTGAATGTTTGTTGCAATAAAATATAAACGATAAAGTTTAGAACACTTTACCGCCTTGATGGACTTTTATAACCAGTATTTCCTTAAGTGACCAAAAATTATGTTTATTTCCATTATCAGGGACGATAAGAAACGAAAACGAACTTAAGGCGTTTAAAGTAGATAAGGTCAGTGGGTTCTATTAAGGTGACCATGGAAATGTCCTACAAAGATTGTTGTAAACTAATTTTGTTTGCAATTTACAGAAATTGGAGAAGTATTTCTGTATAAAACTATAGTAAAGTTCTTTCGAAGTTTGAAAATCGAAGAACTTTTCTAGCATACTCCATTCTAATATCATGTTTATGGTTTACAATGGAAAGCCCTACTATCAACTGCTTTGTTTATTCAGATTTTCGAAGTGCGTATAAACCAGAGCTGTCTGAGTGTCTTGTTGCGCCACCAACATTGAAAATAAAGTAATAACAATCATCTGTCTGGCCTGGCCTCACTCCGACGCCCACAGAACCAAGCCGACTACCGACCATATCGGAACCCAAACGCGCCTCAGTGTAGCGTACTCGACAAAAGCGGTAAAGAAACAAAAATGCTACAAAAAATAAAAATACATACGTATATAAATTAAAAGCTCGCACCTGGACAGGGGAGCGAGTTTCGTAAATAGTTACTTTTCTCAATCGCACTCTCAGTCGGAAAGCGCGCTTCGGTAATGAACGTAACCGCTCGAGAATTCCGTCCGGAACGATGCATTAGATCATCATCACGGGAGTGAAAAGGAGAGGATATAGCGGGCGGTCGGGCAGGAAGTGAAACTATAACTCATCCACCTCCCCAAACCCCTCCGAATCCGGTGATTACTCCAGCGTGTGACGTGCATGGATAACGTGATTCTGAATAAATAGTGCACAAAAAATTGAAAAAATTAAATCGGAAAAATGCAAAACATGTGGATAATTTTCCTGATCATTGGATTGGTGGTTTTCGGACTGCTGGTTCTTCTAATTATAGCGGCGCGGTATCAACGCGATTACTGGCGCTATCTGAACATTCCGCACGAGAGGCCCAAAAAGCTATGGCCCATTATTAGGCAAATAATGACGCAGACCCTGAGCACGGATTCCATGAAGGCGAAGCACTATGGCGACATCTACACCAAGTTCAAGGGCAGCGGTCCGTTCTGTGGCTTCTACGCTTTGCTGCAGCCCCGGGCCTTGATCCTTGATCGGGAGCTGATACGCCAGATCATGATCAAGGACTTTTGGAACTTCAATGATCGCGGCATGTATTGCAACCAAAAGTCGGATCCCCTTTCTGGGGACCTCTATGGCCTGAGGGGCGAGAGCTGGAAGGAGATGCGCCAGAAATTGGATCCCAGTTTCGAGGGGGATCGCATGTCCTGGCTGTATGGGTGCCTGTACGAGGAAGCGGAGCAACTGCTTCTCACCGTCAGCACTACCTTGATGAAGCAGCCTCATTCCACCATTCACATCCAGAAGATCATGCGGCGGTACGTCCTCTCTGCTCTGGCTAAGTGTGTCTTCGGGTTGGACGCCCAGCAGAGGCTCAAGTATCCCTTCGAAACGTTCGAGCAAATGACGGAGATGGCCCTGAATAGTCACAAACACGGTTACCTCATGAACCTGATGATGATCCGGTTTCCGAACTTTTGTCGGCTGTTGCGCTTTCGACGCACTCCCAAGCCGGTGGAGGAGTACTTCCTGGGTGTGTTGACCGATATTGTGGAGCAGCGAGAGAACTCCGGCGTCCAGAAGCAAGACTACCTGCAGCTTCTGGTGGGGGTTAAGGCCCAGGAGCTGATCACCCACAAGTACGAGGCGGACAAGGAGCTAAAGATACATCTTCAGAATGAACTGGCTGCCCATGCGGTTGTCTTTCTCAAGGCAGGATACGAACAGACAGCCAATGCACTATCCTACGTGCTGTATGAGCTGGCCCGACACCCGGAGCAACAGACCAGGGTCCGGGAGGAGGTCAAGAAGGCCACGGAGCGGCACGCTGGCAATCTCAGCTATGAGTGCATCCAGTCGCTGACCTTCTTGGGTCAGGTGATCCACGAAACCCTTCGGATGCACCCCATTACCCCTTATATTATGAGACGTACACTCAACAATTATCCGGTACCGGACCACCCGAAATACGTCCTGGTCAAGGAGCTGTTCCTCATCATTCCCACGCATGCCATACACCATGATCCAGACGTCTACCCGGACCCGGAAGAGTTCAAGCCGGATCGCTGGTCCGGGCCGAGAGACTCTCTGCAGGAGCAGGGCACCTGGTTCGGCTTTGGAGTGGGAGCTCGAAGCTGTATTGGCATTCAGTTTGCCCAAATACAATTGAAGTTGGCTCTGGCCCTGTTACTATCCGAATATGAATTCACCTTGAACTCCCGGAAGCCTCTGGTTGACCTGGAGGATGGAATAGCGTTGACCCTGACGCCCCTGGGTGTGATAGAGCCGGGAAACGAGGAGCGGGCAGTGTAAGCTAGAAGTTTGTGGCATAAGCCGAGTCTCTAGAATCCTCTTTAAAATCTTACTCACTTCCGTTTAATTCAAATTTAATTAAATGAGCAGTTTGCAACCAAAAAAGGCAACTCATTCGTAAACAAAAAATATATACACATAAAAAATCAAATAGAGATGAAGTTTATGCCAAAAAAAGCTTTAGCTTTATGACAAAAGAATTTACTCGATGAACAAAGTCTAGAAAGCAATATAAAACTCAGCATGGCAACTAACCAAATTAAAATTAAAAATAAAAATAAACAAATTTAAAATTAAAGGTCAGTTAATTATATAAGCCGAGAGTCAATCCTAGTTAATAGTTAAATTTAAAAGGCATGTATTTTATTTATTGATTTTATTTATTTCGAAAAAACACTTGGTTTTAAAATAGATTTTTATTCGCATTCGGCGATTTGTTTAATTTCTATTAAATACACATGGTAGTCCTAACGACTAACCATTGATTTGTTAAAATATATGTAATTTGTCAGTTTGATTCATTGTTAATTCTTCAGTGTTAGTATATATCGTTTTTTGCATTGTCGATTGCTGATATGGTTGGTTTTGGCTTCAAATCATCTATTGATTTGTATCTCCTGGCCTGTGCACAGAGGTTTTAAATCATACATCAGTTATATCAGTTACAAAATATTATATAATTAAGACGAGCCTGCTGCTTTCGTTACTAAAGGTCGAAACTATGATTACAATTAGATACAACTCTACGCGCTAGCCCTAGAATTAGATGTACAATAAATAAAATATATATATGACCAAACGTACTCTAAATATACAATATCTCTAAAAATCGAAGCTGCAATTGAGTGATTTTGCTGCGTTTTGGAATGTTTTCTGGCAGCCCTACAAAAATTGCTATTTTGAGCCTAGAATCTAAGTGTTTTTGTTCGACAATTTGGCCGCTAATACAGTGTAACGAAATGGCACTCCTCTACTCCGATGGCATCTTCTTGTGCACCTGCCCGGCGCGTAAAGAGGTCCTCATGGGGTCGCTGCGGTTCGGCATCTTGTCCCGGAGCTTCTGCTCATGGACATACAGGAGCAGTCCGACGTCCCGGTGACCAGCCTGCCAGGCGATCTTGAAAGCTGTGCTGTTATCCTGGAAATGGAAATGAAGTTGCAATTATTAGTAAGATGAACCGAGGAACATGGTATCCTGACACTCACCACATCAGTTATTAAAGAATCACAATCCGGATGTAACAGAAGGTGCTTTATAACATCCACTTGTCCGTGCTCGGCGGCGCACATTAGGGCAGTACTGCCATCCTCGTCCTGGATATTGACATCCGCTCCGGCTTCCAGGAGCACACTGACCATGTCAGCATTACCATGCGATACAGCGAGCATCAAAGCGGTCTGGCAGTGCTGTGAATGCGAAGGAAAAGGAAGGGTAGGGTTAGTAGGGGGAAGTACGGAGAGGGGTCAGTGGGCTACTTCCGGCTTGGGCCATTTTTGGGGGGCCCTTACCTACCTTCGTGGCGCGCAAGTTGACGTCGGCCATCTTGAAGAGTCGCTGGACGACTGTTCGATGGGAGGGCTGCTTCAGCTTGGCCAGGGACACCATCATCACGCATGTGTATCCGGCTTTATTCGTCAAGTTTACGTCGCAAACTTTGGAATCCAGCAGAATGGATACAACATCGAAATTGGCATGCGAAACGGCATAGTGCATGGCTGTATTTCCCTAAAAAATAAAAAGTTTATTAAAAAAAGAGATCATACACTATCTGATTATAAGCCTTACATTTTTGTCAGATAGGTTCACACAATACTCGAGCATTGGGACGGAAAGAGACTCAAAGTAGTCCAAATAATCCTCCACTTCACGGGGATCCGCTCCCAGTGTGCTGGAGATCTTAAACCAATGATCCTGGATGATGTTCTTGGCTGGCTTGAGGCTCAACGAGGAAATGGGCTTGGCGCCCAGTTTCTTCAGCAACGAATCATTTATGGCTTTAAGAGAGGCCTTCAGTTCCTTGGGCAGCTCAGTTCTTGAACAGGATAATGGACAGTTATTGGATGAGGATTTAAAAACAGAGAATGTCAACTCACTTCTGCCTTGGCTCCGAGTCCGCTTGGGCCAATTGGTGGAGCTGGGCCTTGGTGGCCGGTCGTTCAATCACCGTCACCTGGGAGCCCTCGCTCTGACTAGACTTGAGTGGCGTGCTGGACTTTTTACGGGCCCCCTGGGATATCTGGACATCTATGGGTGGACTGGCCGAATCGCTGGACGTGCTCAGCAACGGATCTTGGTCGGGGGACTCGGACTTGGCGGTGCCCGAAGATGTCATCAGTGGTGCTGGTGATGCATCCCGCGACCAGCTTATACTGACCCTCTTCTCCTCCCGTACAATCAACTCGTCGTCACCGATTTGGCTGAGGTCCAGCGATTCCTTTTGCGGCTGACTGATGAAGCTCTGGGACTCTGCCATGGGATCTGCTGTCTGGAAACTGGACACACTAGGCGGCTTCTCCTGCAGGGTGCTAAAAATAAAGAAATTATTAATATGGTTTTTATGAAGTTCTTTTATGGAGGTAAGAGTCTATGGTAGGATAACGCACGTTAGCAGCAAAGCCGAGCATCCGCTGACCAGCAGCGGATAGCACGTGAAACTGCTCAGGCTGGAAAACATTGGCACCACCATGCGGAAAACCAAAATTCAAAGAAACCAACAGAAGAGTGAAGAAGCGACAGAAACGCGATTCTGGCAAAACAGAAATCAAAACTCGACTGAAGGTCAAGACACTGATTTCGCATTAACTGGGCCCAGACCCCACTGCGCAAAAGCATGCTTTCGGTTCGGGTCTAAACTGAAATGCTTTTTGCGAAACTTGGCTAAGTTGGTTTCTGGGACAGTGGGCCAAATTCTATTTTCTCACCTCATTTTTGCCTTTCGCTCCACCTGTGGACTGGGCGTGGGGGATGGAGTGGCCAGAGTGTAGGTGTTCTGGCGCTTGAACTCCCGCCTTTGGGGACTGGGACTGGTGAGGTGCTTGGGCCGTGGAATCCGCGAATCCGCCGACACGGAGCGGCGTCCTGCTACCGGGGTTGTGGAGCTAGCCTTGGAGAAGTCTTTGGCCAGTTCCTGGATGGCCTCCTTGCAGGAATCACAGTAGTTGGCCGCACAGGCTATCGAAATGTGCGGCTTGACGATGTCGCCGCAACCTACATCCCGCTTCCGGACCTCCTCCGTGTTGCAAGCAGAGTGGGTGGTGGTGGGTGGCTTGACCGGTTCTGGCTCCTCAGCCTTATCCGTATTGCTGGATGCATGGCGAGTGGTGGGACGTGGCACAGACTCGGCCACCTGCTCTCCCTTCGTGTGACTCCGGCTCAGGCGCTGCAGTCCTTTAGTATCCGTTGTCCGTGACATCTGCTCGGTAACGCACTGAATCCCCGTGTTCTGCTGCTGGGGACTAACCTGAGCTCCCATGGAGCGTACTGCGGTGGCGGCGGTCTGACTTCCAGCACTGTGCACCAGCGGCACGGATGTCTGACATCCTATTGTCTTCCTCACAACGGAGAGAGCTTCATTCTCGCCCAAACTGAAGGTGTTGCTCCTGCCGGGCATTTGTGGGGCTGCTGGCTTCGCCTTCTGCGGAAGAGTTTCCTGAGCACTACACTTGGCGCACAGCTCAGCGTCCACGCTGTCCTCGGAGCTGCCCACACTGCGTACATCCGGCTTGCAACTGGTGAAGTTTTCTCTGGTGGCCGGTTTGGCAGACACGCCCACATTGTACGTCTGCTTGGGTCTCTCCTGCTGGGTCTGTACACCGTAATCGCGCTGTTCGCGTTTCGGAACATACATCTGAGTTCCCACCGTGATGAGTTTTCTTTGCTTCACCTTCTCTGCCTGGAGAAGAGCCTGCTCCACCTTCTTCTCCATTTCCTTCTTGGAGTAGACTACTTCGAAAGGCTGAGTTCCAGCATCCCGGGTGACTGGTGCGAAGCCAGATTTTACATCTCTGGTGGCAGGCGGTTGTACCTGGGTGGACACATCTCGCCGAACAACACTCGGGGAGGGTGAGGCAGAGGTGGATGTACTGCGTATCCGTGCGCCAAGGCTTTCGAGCGAAACTGGACTGATCCTTTGTGGAGTAAACTGTATGGGAGAGGCGGTTTTTATACCCGGACTGGGCGGTGAGGGTGTCTGTCGTTGGCCACGGAGTAAATCCTCGTTTTTCCGTAAGAGTTGCTGCTTTTCAGCTCTCAGGGAAGTTAGCTCGCGCTGTTGATTGGAGAATAATTTTTTATTACTAATAGGAACTCGGTAACTCACTTCTAACTTACCTCCATATCTGGTATGACTTTGACTTGCGCTTCCAGGTCCTTCAATCGTTTCAGACTCAAGGCCATTTGCTCGCGTATCTGGAACAGAGCTTCGGCATCCTTTGATGGATGTCCCGCGTCGGAGATGACTGGAGATTGCAACGAACTGTTTCCGCTGATGGAAGCATTTTCCGGCTGGTCCTTGGGGGTAGAACCAGAGGTGGGGGTGCTGGCCAAAAGATGGTGGCGTCTGGGTGGAGGTGGCGGCGGTGTGGCTGCAACAGCAGCATTCGGTGACTCCAACTGCTCTACTGGTGACTTGGCATTGGCTGCCACCGCGGCTTGGACATAGCTTTCGTATTGCACTTCGGCCGGGCTGGGGCGCTGTTGCAACGGCAGTGTCTTGGAGCGCATAAAGGGGCTACTCGGTGAACTATTGGGGGATCGATTTTTCGCCAAGCAGTAATCTGGAAATAAAAATGACATGCAGAGGATCAGAAAGATTAAGAAATGCAGGGGGATTACAGTCCCTTCTAACTACCGAAGATTATTTGCAGGGAGGACATGATTGTTTACCCTAAACGACTGATCCTGCATTCCATGAAATCGAAATCATAAAATGCTCAAGCTAATACCTAAGTCACTGATAAAAACGACTTCGTTCTTTGGCAAACTAATTTTTATAACAAATTTTGTCTATGCTAGTCTACGTGAAGCAAAACCTAAACTAAAATTTTCTTGCCTGTATGTGTGATTATGAACAAATGACCGAAGAAGATAAGAAACCTGGGACATTATTCAATATTAGTTTTTGTTTATCACTGTGACACACAAACCAACAAGCAAACATACGGGTTAGATTTCCATAAGCCACAAGGCTGTTGTGGTCTTTTATTTAACTGCATGTATGTATTTCTATTAACACAAAAGTTAAATTTAATTTATGGCCAGATGGTTGGGCTGGCCAGCTATTTTTGTCCCTGCATTTGTCCAATATTCCTCATACGCACTGTACGCCCCCCAAAAAACAGCAAAACAAAATTTGTTAGTCATCTCGGGGCTGTCAGCCTTGCCAAGTATTTTGGTGGCTGTTGCCGCCCACTTTCTAGCCATTACTTAAATTCAGTGTGCAATGAACTTTCCTTTAAAAATAATTTGGCTGTTTTTTCCTAAAATGCACTGGAAAAATTGGAAGCAAAAGTTTGAACTAATAAAAAGGTTTTGAAAAAAAGTTAAAGCTTAAATATAAAACCAAAAAAGAAGGATACTTAGATGCTTTCTTTTTAATTATTAAAGAACTTATTTTCTAACCAATTTTCCCCAATTTTCTTGTTAGTTTTCGCCGTTGTTTTTAAGCATTTGATGCCAAATTATCTCAAAGTATTCTAACCAAGTCTGAGGGAGAGGTTTTTTTTAAAAGAAAGCGGGGCGGTCGACGCGTGATGCTGGGTAGCATTGACCGAGCCATAATTAATCAGTTTTTATGGCCCAACTAATTAGCAAAGAACCAAGTCAAAAACTGAATAGAGTTCTAGCCTCCTTAAGCTAATGAACCTACAATCGCTCCACCAGCTCGTCGGCGAACCGGGCTTGTTGTCCGACTTCGGTTTGAAGCCCCTCTTGACCAAACGACGACGCCTCTGGGGCAGAGCATCATCCGCCGAGTAAAACATCGCAGCTGTTGCACTTATTTTTGTTATTGTCTATTATTGATTTGTTCAGTTGATTTCGGTTGGTTAGAGCAAAAGCATAGCACTGCACTTGGCTGCCTTTATGGGCCAAGGCATTAGACACTGCACTTGGCCGTTGTCTGTTTGTTATTCGCAAGGCCAGAAGCTAGATTTATTTTCGGTTCTTATCATAGCCAGTGCTAATTAAAGCGTGTTGGGTTATAAACAATATTGAATTATTTTATTTGCGAGCTATCGAAGCAAAATGTAGACAGATCAAAGCAAAAACTCATCACATGTTATCTGCGGCACACAGTGGCTTCCAAAAAAAACAGGCACATCTGTAACTCACTTCGTAGAAGTTCATGTTTTAGTTTTCGTAGAATCGTTGGCATTTTTTTAATTTCGAATTTTGTTTATTTTAAATGTGATTTAAAGAATTTTAAATAGTTGATGGTTTCGTGAATTTATTAGAGTATTTTATTGTGTCATTGATTTGTGCTGTTTTTCATCATTTTTTATGTTTTCTCGGCTGCTTGTCACATATTTTTTATATTTTTCGAATTAAGAATTTTTTGTCGCGTATTATTTAGTTGATTCGTTTAAAATAGTTCGTAATATTATTTGAATTATTATAGTTTGCAGCTGGAGAGACACATTTTTATGCTGTTCGTTCGAAAGTCGTCGACAAACTGCTCTCAGCCAATTTTTTTGTTTCGCTGGTTCATTCGACCATCATCATCGCCGGCAAAAACAATTTGAAGAGCGACGAAAAACCATTTAGCAGTAGAGATTTTCGTGTTATTATTTAACCCAACTCTTGTGCAAAAGGCGTGTACAACAACTAGCCACAAAAAAAATAGAAACCAATTGGGCTGAGAGCCCGAGAGTAGAAAGAGACACTCCGGCGATAACGCTCAGCAAATACAAATTAAATAATCAAAATAAAAAACGGGCACTAAAAAAAGCAACGACAAAAGTAGGCAATATTTTTGTTGAGTGTGTGCGTTTTCCGATAAGCTAAATGCAAAATTATTAACAAAAGCTGATAGCAATAATTTCAGTGACGTGGGCAAAATCAAGTCAAAAAGAATACAGACGTTTAAATGCCCTTTAAGGCTTTAAGGTTTAATATCCTAAAATAGGGGAGCTAAGGGCTTTAATTAAGATACTGTAGAAACATAGGGATATCTATTTTTATGAAATCTTAGTTACTAAAGTTGTAATACCTTATGAAAGAGTATTAAAAAAACCCATAGGATGTACGCTTCAGAGAGATCTCTGGCTTTTTCTTTGTTAATACTTTATGGACTATTTGATAGGCAAATAATATTGATTTTTGATTGTCTATTTGCACATCAATTTGCATTCAACGTTTGCTTGGCTTCGATACGGTTGATATTTCTGAGTCAAGGCCAAATCAAAACGAAGACGAAGACAAATTTGATTTATGGCCAACTTTGAATAAATCATCATTATCTCTAAGGCACATCCAATAACTTATCTTCTTTTTAAATTAATTAAAAAAAAGTTGGATAGTTTGATTGATTTAAATAAATTGAATTCTATAAACAAAAAACCTCTTACGTTGGCTGATTTAAGGATAGGCTGGGCCCGCAGTCTTGCGAATTTTGTATCTCAAGGTTTGCCAACTTTACACGCATTTTGGCATTCGTCTATTGTTAGAAAAACGATTTCTGGGCCCGACTAATGCCTTTTGGCAAAAGGAATGGTTTTCTTATAGCCATGTTCGATGTGATTTGCCAATTATTAATGGCCTGTTGCCTGACTATTACCAAGGAACTGGTCATTTAGCCATATATACACATTAATCAATGACATGTCCTCTGGGACCAAAAAAAAAAAGAAACAGAACTTGAAAGCGACAATTTGATTTGTTTATTTGCATTGAGTTTTTGTTTGATTTTTGCACACTTTATGGCAAATTTATGGCATCAACAAATACAAGAAAAACGAGATGGAGTAACCAACGATCGAGAGCAAAATTTGCATGCAAATTGAGCGCCAAATGCGCAATTCAAATTGATTTAAGATACGAACGCCTCAAGAATTGCCTTGAAGTTGCTTGCCCCATGCCGCATGGTGTATGTTGTTGCAACTACCAAAAAGGCAGCCAATTGAGTTTCAAATGCCAAAGATGCAAAGCACTCTGTATTCGTACGTATATTTATATCTGTATCTTTTGGAGTGGCTGAACTCTACTGAACTGTAACTGCAATACTAGCTTATTTGATTTTTTTTCTTTTCTAAAATGTTTAAGTCTATAATGGTTAAAACTTTATAGGTATGGAAATATCCTTTGATCTGACAGCACAGCTGCTAAGATAACTTCATAAAGACAATGGAATTAATTCTCTTAAATCTTAAAACATTTAGGAATTGTAAAGGAAAGACGTTCCTTTCTGAAGAGGTTGTTCAAAATTTATCAGTTGACTTTCCCTTTCCAATTGATTTAATACTTTTCCATTCCCTTATCTGCAAGAGCTATAAAACTATTAACGTATAATATTTATTTTATAGTTTTTTTAACTATAGCTTTCACTTTTCTTTCCACTGTGTGATTCTTCAATTGCCTTCTAAAAGTCTGCCTGAAATCTTTCACACTTTCTTGCGTAAAAATGTCACATGTGCCGCAGCAGCGCTAATTGCTAAGAAAAGAAAGCAAAAGTATCTGCCAAATCTATGAATCATCCTCCCCAGAGCCAGAAACTAATAAATTGAGCAATCTTTTCTTTCTATTTTTGGAGTTCTTTTTGTTGGAGACCTCTGTTTTCAACGCCCACTCACCTGTCACATCAAAGAATCGGTCCCACGTGCTGTTGCCAAAGCGATTATCGTTCCGGGTATCCTTCGAACCATATCCATTATTGAAACTCAAACTGAGTTTGTTGTTATTCCGATCCATGGACATGGAACCATTGTAGGGATTCTTTCGCCTTTTCACCGAGGTCCGCTCCAAAGTACGTTCAAAGTCGCTGCACACCTCGTCGAGGGCCTCATGGAGGAAGGCCCGTGTCTCCGGCGGACTGATCGCCGGGGCACGCCTTTGATAGACTCCGGCGTCACTCTCTACCCCGCCCCTCAGCGATGAGCAGGTGGAGGAGGCGGTGCCAAAGGGGGACTCCGAACGGGGCGGTATGCTGCCGTAAGTGAAGCGCGGCACGGACGACGATCGTGGTCGGTAGCAGGGAGTGGTGTTATACTGTGACGGTGACAGATTCGCTTGGTTTGGGGGGCGTGGCGAGTCCGGTTCGCTTTCATGTGCGGCCTGCATGCAAAATTAATAAAAGGTGACGAGTTAATTACAGATTCGGATGATCAAAGGGGACCTCACAGTAGCATTTGGAAGGAATATGTACAGAATCAATTAGATTAGATTTTGTGGATCAAGTTTGAAGAGCATTCAGAACATACCTCTGTTAGCTTGCCTTCGACGCGCGTCTCCGCCTGCCAGTCGCCCCCAAAGAGGCTCTCGAATCCCAGCATGAACTCCATGGACTTGCGGGAACGCCGACGATCCCTGCGCCGCTGCTCCTCCTCGCTGGGCTTGGCCTGGGCCAGGGCCTCGCAGTAGCGCACAAAGTCCAGGTCGATGTGGTAGCCATAGGGGCAGCAGCTGCAACTGCGCACCGAGCGACTCATGGTCGCTGGGGTCGCGGAGGAGGAGGCACCGCCACTGCCGCCGCCAGACGATGGACGAGCTGGAAGAGAGACAAACAAAAAACGATTCAGTATCTTGTGGTTTCTAAATGACACTGCCAAGGTCACTTGAGCAGTCGATTCTTGGTATTAGCCAGACAGTCAGATATTCGGATGAAAACAAAAAGAATGTATGTATGTGTATCTCCCTGTGCATCGCAGACGAAGTCGCCACCACCTGCCCTCCATCAAACACGTTTCGTGTGGGGATTTAGTAATCGGAGCACCAACGGCATCCAAGCAGGTACAAAAACGTAGTTCTAGGAATGCCGGTGTATCCGTGAGATAAATTCGTGCCTTATTTATGCCTAATTGCGCCTTATAATAACTAATTTTCGGTTCATTTAGATAAACCACTTATGGCCAGGTGGATGAATCATAACGAGCATTTCATGTAGTCCCCGGGGGCTGTTTCGAGATATTTACAATTGGAGATAGCTGCGGCATTGATGGCAACGATTTTGCAATCGTGTAATACAATAATTAAATAATGATTGGAAATAATTAGCCGTAATAGCCATTAGAGCGCCTAACCAGGGACATAATACAATTTAAACGAACTTAAAAGCGTAAAGCAAACACCGACAGTGTTTTGTTTAATTAATTTATTTGCATTCATCATCTTAAAGCTTTTTCCTGTTCTTCACTCACTTTCTTGTGGCATTTTTGAGTCATGATAGAGCCACAGTACCCCCAGCCACAGTAGATTCCACAGCATATTATTTTATGGTAACTCGATTTAGCACTTAAAGCATTTGAAATTCCTGCGCGTCGACCTCGGATTCTTCGACCAGCGATATGAAGGAATCCAAGAGCCGGGAAAATTTTTGGTAATAAATGGAGGTTGTGTGCCCGCAGCAAGCCTTCAGCCAACTGGTCGGGAAAATAACAAATACTCGCTATATTCATCATGCAGCAAATTGGAACCGATAAGATAGGAGGCATTTAGCCATTTAGCCACGCTTATCAAATTCCCAAAGAGAGAAGTTAAATTAAGCTCTGCCCTGTCGCCATCTGTCGGAGAACTAACAAGAAAGGAAAACTAACTTCGGGCGGAGCCGAAGTTTATATACCCTTGCAGCTAAAACCGGATATATATCGCAAACATCGGATATAGTTAGCCGATTCTTATGAAATTTGGAACGTTAGATCAACTGACCAAAAATAGAATCTGTATTAAATTTCAGCTTTCTATCTTCAAAAAAACGAAAGTTGGGTCATTTCCGATCGTTCAGTTATATGGCAGCTATAGGATATAGTCGGCCGATCCTTATGAAATTTGGCATGTCGTAATGTTTTGCCAAAGATAGCTTTCGTGTCAAATTTGAACTCTCTAACTCTAAAAACACCAAAGTTATACCATTTCCGATCAATCAGTTATATGGCAGCTATAGGATATAGTCGGCCGATCCGGGCCGTTCCGACTTATATACTGCGTGCAAAGGAAAGAAGAGTGTGTGCAAAGTTTCAAGACGATAGCTTTAAAACTGAGAGAATAGTTCGCGTAGAAACAGACAGACGGACAGACAGACAGACGGACAGACGGACAGACGGACATGCTCATATCAACTCAGGAGGTGATCCTGATCAAGAATATATATACTTTATAGGGTCGGAGATGTCTCCTTCACTGCGTTGCACACTTTTGGACAAAATTATAATACCCTCTGCAAGGGTATAAAAATGCAGAAGAACTTTTTCAGTAAAATTAAAATAATAAAATTTTAATTATATTTATTATTCTTTCTTAAGGTTTCCATCAAACATTTTGAAGAATGCCTGGGAGTCGAGGTATAACTCACAAAGAAGTCAATATCTTTGCAAATAACTATTGGATTTTAAAGAGGAATGCCTTATACGAATGGTAGATAAATTCTTCATAAACATGCATCAAAATTTAGGGAGAAAATATTTTCCAAATTTTCTGAAGAAGTCCCTGCCAAAATCTGCAATAGCATGGAAGGACAATATAACACCCAGCATGGGCCATATCTTTTTCAATAACTATCCAATTTTTAAGAGGAATAGCCTAGACGAATAGAAGATATAAACGATTTTAGTCCATAATCCAGCAACGGTTTTTTTCTATTTTTTTTCTGTGATCCGAGTTATATTATTGAAGCTTCTCTGTCTTTTAAACTGCATCATCTGCTCTTTTCACTTTTCATTCATTCATGAATTCGAATGAAAAGTGTGGGTAGAAAAACGATTCGCTTTTAAGGTGGGCGTGTCGATATTGTGAAAGTGTTGGCGCTGCACTACACGGCGTATACGTATTGGACCGTTTCGAGTGGCAGCATATTGATGAGTTCGAGTGGCCGTTATTAGCAGGCGGCTCCATGGCCACGGCCAAAGTTGTTCACTGGCTTAATTATCATGATCCTCACCCCCACACACGCACTAAGTATATGACCACAGACACATTTAATCACTCGAGAAACCAAAGACAAATTTGGCATCGATTGTGGATTTGGCGAAGAGTGTGGGTGTGCCAAGAATGTGGCTCCCCTAATGGCAACTAATTGAGGGGTTAACCATAAAACATATAATTATTTTTAAACGTTAACTTTCACGTGTAAATGCTGAAGGGTTAAACCTTTAGTTGGTGAGTTTACAACTCAATTTACACACGATATGCCGGGCCAAATAAGGGCGCCTACATAATCACATAAATCGTACTCTGCACCCGACTCACATAAAAATTAAGAAATTAACTCGACTTGAATTACGATCAAGCATGAGTGGGGCACGTATCCGTGTCTCCTCCGAGTCTCCCTGCCTCTGAATGATTTCCAAGCATCATTATCATGATCGTTTCCATGTTGATCAGACTTCTTGTAAATGACTACACTTTCGGCGTAGGCGTTTTGTTCGGTGAATTCTGCAGAAAAGCTGACCGGCATACAAAATGAGCTCGACTTGTGAATGAAATTCGAACAACAAATGGTTTTCCAAAAAGCGAAGATTGTATGCACTTTAAATACCTAAAAATATAGTCGACAAAGAAAAGACAAATCTTAGTTAAACTATTGAGTATTTTTGCAGACTCGACAAATCGAAAACTGGTTATTCAACTGTCAGGTTTTGGACTCACATGTGGTAGGCGGTATTTTATTTTATTTTACTTTATTTGTGGCTCTGGCCACTGCAGCTGTGGCAGCTAATGAAGCTAACGGTCCCAAGTGCTGCTGCCACAGCCACAAATTACCGTAAAGCGCAAAAATTTAATTATGCAAAACACGTGCAATGCTGTTCGATCTAATTGCATGCCCCAGCTCACTCGACAGCTAAGAGGAAAAAAAAAATGCCATCGCCAAAAATAAAATAAGTGAATAATGGGTATATTAGCCATAATCAAGAGACACTAACTATAGTTATTTAATGAATAGTGATTTGTTTTAATAACTTAACATGTTCCAAATATCGTAATAATTAAATGAGTTAGAGGCTTGGATATTTTTTTAAAGGAAGTGATATGAGATTTTTGAATTAATAATACCTGGTACTCGATAAAATGTCTATAACTTCTCAAAAATAGTTCAGTTACTATGGATTTCTAGTATGGATGTTATATCAACCTCATAATATCAGAACGATTTCCTAGATAGTCGTAACTTCCTGAGTTTTTCTTTTCATTTCTTTCCATTTTTTTAAGTGCTCCCCAGACGCAATTCATCCTATTTATGACCAAATTTTAATTACCCAATTAAAGTCGTCCCTTTTAGTGGGCTCCTTGGTTTATGGTTTCTTGGCTTTAATGATTTTCAACGTGTCATAAACTTTTTCATTTTTGAAACACATCGTGTGTGGCTAATGAGTTGAAATCGTGGCCCCGCCAGCTGACATTTACATTTCCCAATTTAATTGCTTCAATTAACGCCGAAAGCCCACAAAAAACGGCTGAAACATGACCTACCAAAACCGGCCACGCCCACTGCCCACTGCCACATAAACTGTCAACTCACATCCGCTATTCATAAATTGGCAACAGAAGAAAAATAAACGACCCGACATTTGATTTGATAGCGAGGAAAATATTTGTATTTAAGCCCGAAACCAGTTTTGATTTTTGGCTTAATTAAAAGTCTAAAAAGTAGTGGCAGCTGGAGGTGTTACGGGTTACGGGTATTGGCCAAAACTGATTTCCATAAAGGAGTCGAGAAATATTTTCTTGAATGGCGAGTGGGACGAAGGCTTAAGGTTTTGGACAAGTTTTGTGGCGAAAATGTGCGTTGGGGCGCCGCTGTGACAAATTTGCCTTTTCGGCCAGGTTAAGTGTATTGTTAACACTGCATGTGTGAAGTGAGAGACTGAAAGAGAGAGAGAGGGGTGAGGGAGCTGGGATTTTGTGGGTGTTGGCCCGGCTTTTTGCGGATCTGTGCGGGCGTCAAGTTGACCCACATCTGGTATCTGCAGTCGTTTGTAGAATGTCAGTCATGTGGGCCTGAGACACGTTTCTATATTTTTATAGCCATGGCCCACGCCGTGTGTTTCAGCTTTAGTTTACTTACCATTTTCCTCAATGAAGGCGCGTTGACTCCGCAAAACCAGCGACCTGAAACAACACAACCATTTTTATTATTGTTGGGGAAATTGGCACAAATAAAGACAACAAAGATAAAATATCTTAAGCAAAGAAAACAACCGGCAATTGCGAAAGAGCTGGGAAATAAATAGAAAGAGCTTTGTCCAACACAATTGTTGGTATTTGTCTTTGCTATCAGAATTTTAAAAATAAATCAATGCAACGCACAGCCCAGAATGCGACAAATACCCAGAAGATACACATGAGATACAGATACGGATATACATAGATATGGGCAGAGATACTTGCCACACTTGCCAGCGGCTAGAAATTATAATAAAATATATCAAACTGTCAGCGTTTTGAGTTCTTGTTGTCGCCCCCTTTGTTTGGTATTTGGAAACACACTTTGAAAATTACATTTGGAGTATGCGTGCGCCACAAAATCCCCAATAATCTTCACGGATGGCTCTCGTCCACACCATCATCCGGAGAATACCACACCCCCTTCCTCCAGATCCCCACAAGAAACTCATTAGTGAACTTTGCCGCCCTGATCCTCCTATACACCCAGTCGATTTTCCTGGAAAACCATAACATGCGTGCTGCATTTTTCATTTTTCCACTTTGCTGGAAACGGAAACTGCAATTATTTATAATTTGTTTTGTACGATGAGTTTCGAAAATTTGGATGCAATTAGCCCGGCCATACCTGAGGCTTCACCTTAAAATTATTTTTGTTTGACTTGTTTAATTAATTGCCAGTCATGTTTTTGCTGAAAATTAACTTTAAAATATATTTCGCCAAGGTATCTAATTGAAAGCCGTCTGACAATTTGCTGCCATATTTTTCAGTCATTTTTCACGTTTCCATATTTTTTTTCCCAATTTGAAAATTTATGTAAAATGAAAATTTATGCGTCAACTGATTTATGTGGTTTTGCTGGTGATTTTGTTGTTGTTTGTGTTGCACGTTACATGAATGAAAAAGGCCTGACATGATCCCCCATCTCGGTGATGCCCCACAGTCCCCTTTCAACGGCGGCAAGTTGCATTCATGTGGAACGGTTGCGGCATCGCGTATTTTTGGATTGCAGACCAAATTAATATGCGTGTTTATGATTATGATACACGAAACTTGTTGTTTTTATGTTCTGCCTTCTAGGTTTTTTGTCTAGCCACAATTTGTTTCGGCTTTTCCTTGTTTACTTGCATCGTTGTCATAATTATAAATTGTGATAATTGGTTTCGGTTTGCTCATGGCTCATGACCAGAGGATGCACGGGTTATGGACATCTTCACATTGAGAAAGATATGTGTTTTGGCCAATACACAGATCTTCAAGAATGGAAAATAGACCCCGATTATTTTTGATAGCCATTTGATTCAAAAACCTTGTATCTTTTGAAAATTTGCCAATATTTTTAAATCTTTCGATCATAAACTCAAGATGCCCTGTTTTCTTTTCAATTTTCAAATATTCAATTGTTTGCGGAAAAATGCTTTTTATACGTCATTGTATTTTGCCAAAAAAAAAAAATATTTTCCTTCAAAAATCACTCAAAATAACATATAACAACAAGGCATAACTAATTTGTTGATTCCATTAGAGCCGAGCTTGGCCGGAAAGAGCACATTCATTTATTGATATTATCTCAATGCCACACAAAACAAGCACTCGATTCACACCTTTAACACCTCCATAATGGATAGAAAAACACTTCAACTCTTGGCCACCATAATCCCCCAATTCCCCACACAATTGGTGCGACTTCCTTCCCTTTCGGGGGAGTCTGTTGATATCACCGGATCGTTGATCGAATCGGGTTTAGGCTGGTAGGCCCATTATTTTTACCTCCAGAAGCGCTTGACTGCTTCCTGTTCGGTGGGCGTCAGGTGGGTTATCTTTTCGGCAAACTTTGACTCATCGTAGTCGTAAAAGGGGCACCCCGAGTCGAAATCGGGCGGCGGGGGCAGTATCATATCGCTGAGGTGTCGACTCATGCCACTGCATACGCTATTTCTTAATGGGCTTTTAGTCGATGGCTTTCGCGGTTTTGGTCTGGCCTTTAATTAGCATTTGGCTTGTCTTGTCTATTCTATTTTGATTTTATTTTTAAGCTGATGGAAATTCTATGGCGAAATTAATTAACTCCGATGGCGACAGACAAAAACTTTCTTGCCATGGCAACTAAAATCGTCCCGCGAAGCACTTTTCATTGCCACAGTTGCACTTTTTAGTTAGTTTTTAGTTTTTTTAGCTTCTAGCTGAGTCATTTTTTTTTAGATTTAGTTCGTACTTCGTGTCTCAGTTTATTTTTTGTCACCGGTTTCCGCTGTAAAAACGCTCCGCGCTCGAAAATCGCTCGAATCGAACTAAACTGAATGCGCCGGGTGGAAAAAAAACTTCACGAACTGAACGGCCTGAACTTTATGCTTCGTCTTTGAGTGTGTGGTCGGCCCGAGTATCTGTGTGATTGTGTGAGACTCACATGTAGTCGTCTGTATCTTTTCTGTTTGTTTTTGTTATTCGTTTATACATTTTTTTATTGTTTGCTGACGATCGTAAAAGAACTTTGGCTGCCGCCAAACCGATCGGACAACCCCCAAACACACAAAACACAATGCCAAGTGTATCTTTGTTGCTCTTGGCCTCCGGGGCTAAGCTCGAACGAGAGAGCTATCGATACGATAATTAATAAATATAAGTAAGTGACTGCTAAGCAGCACAACACAATACATAAATAAAAAAATAAAAGCCAAAAACCAGTTCGTAACAAGTCCGCTTCAGAAAACACCCAAACAAGCCAATTCCCAATCGCCCGATAAGCAAACTTACACCTAGCACTGTATCTATGTATCTTTGTATCTCTGGCAGCGGAAGCATTTGCCATGATTGATGAAGTTAGAAAGGTGTCGCCCTGTCCTGGCTTTTTGATCTTTCATCCTCAGGCCTCATTAAATCACACAGAAGCCGCCACAGTCGAGAAATAGAGTTGCTTCATCTCGAAATGGAAAGAAAAACAAGTCATTAACCTAAACTAATTAACGTTGACAACAACTTTTATAAATTTTACATGCTTTACTCCATAAAGTTATTTAATATTTCAACTTCCCAGGTTTGAAAACTGCCAAAAAAAAAATACCAGTAGTTGAACATTCTCAGCGGGCTACAGCGGATTGAATTATTACAGACTCTTAGATTTTTCAGATAAATTCCATTATTGTGGGAACGAGTGGGCTTTTTGGAGAGACTTTATAGCCTTTGGCAAATAGAAATCGATTGGGTGTGACGCATAAATAATTGCAGCAATTTATTTTCACATTAAATCACTGAGAGAGAATCCACTAACGCATAATTAAAAACCGTGAAAACCACTGGCTAAAAAACATAAAACTTGTTTAATAATTCCTCGGTATGAATTCGACAGAAACGGAAACCGGCTCACTTAGCTCCATGTAGACTCCTCTGGTTTAGAGCCCCGCGACACTTTTTATAGAAAAAATATTTATTTCTAGCCGGACAGCTCATAGAGCATGAAATTCGTTAGCTCTCGGCTTATTATTGCTCCGAAAACCTAATACAATATTCATAAAGTTCCGCAGAAAACAAAACAAAGACTCAAGCTAATTAACATAAATTTCAAAATCAAAGCTCGAGGGAAATACTAATTATGAAATAAAACGATCATTTCATGGACTGCCACTTGTCGACCACTTTGGGTTCAATAGACGATCGATCCGACGACTGATAGGCGTCTTTGACATTTCCCATAGTTGCTCTATAAGGCGGCAATTGTGTAAATAATTAACAATTGATAGTTGTGGGGCCACAAAAAGCAAACATTCAATTAAGCTGGCAAACATTTTGATCAGAGGCTGGTAAGTGCATTTGTGCACATTATTTAATGGCACGAGGTAGATGCAATTATAGGAAAGGTTTGTATATCTTTATACTTTTTTTTCCTACAAAGGTTAGGTCTATTAAAATACAAGACCTTCCATATAATATCTATAAGCTTAGCCTCTTGGAAACCAATTTTTTACATGATAATCCCAGAGCTTAACGGTGTCTCTTCGGTACAACAAATTGATGTATGACTTTTTAACAAAAAGCCTTTTAATATTATTTTATGCCACCTAAACCTGTAATGTTTTTGTATATGAGTATTTTTAATAACATACAAAAGTGTAAAGTTACAAAGTAAATTCCTGAAAAAAAAAAACAACTTTCACCCCAAAAAGCCCATTGATTTCATTTTAATGATAACCCCTTGAGGTTGTCTATTTTTGTGAAGCTTCTCGCTTTGTGGCACGAGTGCTATTCAATGTTGCATGTTGCCTGTGGCACGGTAAATAGATCTAAAGTGCCGTACTTGCATGACATGCAGCTTGACACATTGTGTGGCGAGTGTGTGAGTGAGTGCGTGCTGAGAGTGTTATCTTATCGTCGAGCTGTCAGAGTGTGCGAGTGCGTCAGAGCCGGCAATATTTTTATTTATATTTATTACATTTTCAGGGAAAAGTGAGCCACGGCGGAAAGGGGCTCCCACATTGGGAAATTGACATGTTGGCGTCTCTAGTTGTAGTTTATATTGGATTCATATCCGGTACTTTAAGGAAGTTAAATTACAAGTACCGGGTATCATATTGCCTGCGTGATCTAGTAAGATATCAGGGAAAAGGCTAAGGATACTTCTAAGTGATTAATAGATTGCTTTGAGAATAAAACATAACAACCCGTCCCCTGCTTCCTTTTTAAGTGCTTTTAATAGCTTTTACCCCCTTTACTTCTATTTTAACCCGTCAAGTCATTTGATATTCTTTTCCCAAAGCTTCATTAATGTGATTGAGTTGTTTTCCAACAAAATATATTTTCCCAGCTGTTTATAAACATGGCTAAAGTGTAAAAATCATGTCTCCATCTCCACTGGCGCATTGTTCCTTCTTTTCGAGACTTTTTTTGGGTCATTTCAATCAACACCTGTCATCCCGGCCGCATCTCATGCGTTGGCGTTGTCTATACAGTCTAGAGAGTCAACAGTCTAGAGCTGAGGTGGTGGGGTCTGGGGCTAAAACTCACACGACTGTTGAAAATCAATTAAAAGAAATTGTTGGCCACAAGGCACAAAAAACCGTTCTTCTCGGATCTGGGCATCGACACTTTCGCTACAACAACCGACAAAAAAATGGGCAAAAAAGGTAACAACACGATATTTTTTGCATATCGATAAACGGTCTATGGCGTTTATAATTTATGCGATTTGGCGCAGTTTACGACAGGCTAACAAATTTTTGCAGCAGCCGCCCCATGTGGCCGGGCGGTCGGTCCAGGCGGCAGCGAAAAGATACAAGATGCAAGCGCAAGATACAAAACGCCGCCAGGGGCAAGCCATCAAGGCCAGCGATGGAGCTTGAGCCCGGGAGATTGGACGATTGGTTTAGGAGGGGCATACACATTTATATAGATAGATAGACTTATATAGTGAATATATAAGGGGTGCTGGGAGTGCAAGAGATGAAGTCTTATGACTGCCAAAAGCCATGAGGCATGAGGCGCATAATCGAAAACAGAATTGCGGTGAACGCGTGCTCTTTGGAGCCTGACGTCAAAAGTTGTAAATTATGATATAGCATGTTATAGCCATGAAGCCGACTATAGCGCCAATGCATTGGACGGGTTGGGGGGTCCGTAAATATAGTATTTGAGTTAATTGCCAACGCTTGTAATCGTTAGGCGAAAAAGGTGATCGCCATTGAAGATCATCATCACCCACAATCTACATACTGGCAGTTGAAATGGCAGTACACTGAGCCAAAAAACACACAAGTTTAAAAAATGTAGCTTTTTTATACACTGTCTTAAGCAGTCTCTCTGAAAATTAAAGGATTATAAACCCAAATAAAAGCCTTCATGTCTCAAAGTTCTTCATGTCTAAGTACTGATTAGACTGCTGACTCCTCTTACAAAAATACTATTTATAAAAAGTGTCAATCCCCTACCAATTTTTCTCCGTGAAAACTATAAAATTCATCCGTCGATTTATCAACCATCTTAATGCAATTTCAATGCCTTCAATAGTGAGGTTATCGTACGTATCTTGACTGTAAATCAAGACAGACTGCTACATTGCATCACTCAAAAAATATTTCTCCACCGGACAACAAAACACATTTTAACGATCAACTATTAATGAGAGAAAAGCTTTGCGGGGGAATCGCTAGAGAGAGAGCCAAGTCAGTGACAGATTTTGAGATTTGAGCTTGACATTTGGCTGGCAGTTTCGCCAATTGGCGATTTTGTTGTTATGGAGCTCACCATCGGGGCGTATACGCAATTTGCATACGATAAGCTACAAAACGACTTGAACTGATGACGACAATGTCAGTTGAATGAATGTACCCCGCCTCCAAATTGGATAAATACATTGTTATATGATTAAATTTCATCAGTAAGTTAATTAATAAATGGAAACAAAACGATCTCTAACTGGATAAATTAATTTTGTTGCCTGGAAACAGTTGGATACTTATTCCCAAACATTAATCATTGTTAAAGCATTTGCGAAAATTGAAAACAAAAATCTTAGCAAACCCTAAATTATGTATGAACACATGGGGGCATGTTAAAAACTTGACACCACCACCACTTCCCTGTCTCTATTGCAGTTGGCTTGTGGCGGCTTTATAGCTCTACCGCCAATTAATAAAAATGAACGCTTTATGTTACATACCCTAGCAGAGGGTATTATAACTTATAAAGGTTAGATATTCTTGATCAGGATCATTTCCTTCTGTCTATTTTAACGCGAACTAGTCTTTCAATTTAAAAGCAATCTATTCATATTATTTCGAACTGGTAGGATACTTAAGCTCCTATAGGAATCGGTCAACTATATCCAATGTAAAAACTGTAAGCTTTAAAAATGTAAGCATTTATTACTCTTAAGCGAGCCAAGAAGCCGAATAGTAATGAAGAGTAAACTTTAAGAGGTAGTACAAGAGGTAAAGAGGCTTTATTTTTTTACCTATTCAGGAAAATATTAAAAAATTATTAATTAAGAAATATCGCCCTCCTCCTCGATTCTCATAGGTTGCAAGTAGGCAGGCTCGAAGAATAGGGAAATTAATTTTTTTTTTTGTGTGAATTTTGATAGTGAAATTCCAATGTCCAACTATATCCTATATTATCCTACAACAAAAACAGCCACTTAACTATAAGGGTAAATAAACTTCGGCGTCGTGCAAATTAAGCTTTTCTTTCTTGTTTCCATTGATTTCCCCTATGGCGGCGGGGGGATTTAACTTCCACTCCGATCTGGGCGTATCGTGTTTCGTAATTGAATTGCAATTGGCAATA